TCTGGTCTAAGTGCCATGCTTGCAGTTTTGCCCACAGTTTGCCCAAACTGGAGAACATCATCTTTTGATGACAGAGTATCTGTAAGTCTAAATCCATCTCCTCTCCCTCAGCTTCAGTTTTCTCTTCTGGAACAAATATTCTGAAAATTTGATAAGTGCACATTGGAATCACTTGAAGAGCTCGTTAAAATGTGCAGATTTCCAGGACCCTCTCTGTGGGACTTGAATTCACCTGGCACAGGAAGCCACTTTTTAATTAGCACTATACTGAAGCAGACTTAGGCTACACTGAGAAACATCAGTCTAGAGACATGGGGTCAATTAGTTCCTCTGCCTTTGGTTCAAGAGAGCCTGCATTCCAAAGATACTGTCCCTGAAAATCCTATCTCGGTCCATGTTTATACATCAAGTTATATTTCCTCACGGATCTATCTGATAATTCTTCATCTCCATTCATTATGAATTCCAACACATAGTAAAGCATAAATTTCAAGTTTATTTTTGGCAGTGCTTTTCTTCAAGCCTCAATGACTTCCGAAGATAAGGATTTGGTTTTTCTATTCTGTATATGTCTGTCTCAAGTTAATATGTTTATTGGAACTCCTATATAAGAGCTGTTATCAAATTTTAGCAGGTCTCAAAATCATCTGGGGCAATAGGGGAAATTAAAATAAAGGTTCACAGGCTTCATGGCTGAAGTCCTGCCTCAAGCCCAGGAACCTGCATTTCAACAAGTTATGTGATTCAGGTACAGTAGTCACTTGTCAGGCTTGGAGCCATCCAGCTGTAGAACCTTCTTCTAAATCTTTTCCATAAAACTGGAAATCAAGCATATTTGTTATTGTCTAGAATTTGACTGTCTAATGCAAATAAAGAGTCGTCAAACTCATTTAGACCTCAAAGAATTCAGCCCTTTCACTTTTTAGATGAGGAGCCTGAGGCTCAGAGAGGTAACATGACTTGCCCAAAACCATGGCTGGACTAAAACCTAGGTGGGACTCTCACTCAGCCATAATCCAGTGGCCTCCCAGGAAATGAGAGCTCATACTTCATTGGCCTGGGGTTCATGCACCTGCATCCAAAGCAGCAGATGCTCCAGAGCCTGGGGATACAGGGGAGCCAATAGTCTCTCTATGTGCTCTGCAGGTTCCCAGGCAAGGACAGCTGGGCCAGGCTGTTAGGAACAGCACAAAGGGGATGTTCTGAAATCCAGCAGCTCTTGTGGGGCCACTGCCCTCCACCTTGCTGAGAGTTGTAAATTTCTAGAGATTCTGTATGTGGTAAAGGACTATTTATTTTTTTAAAGATCTGGGTGTTAGGTGCATGAGGAATTCATTTTATTATTCTTCACCTTTAAATAGCAATAGGTTCCATAATGAAAAACTTTTAAAAGGAAAGAAATAGTGTGAGAGAATGAAAAAAAAAAGACCTCTAAGTGGGATAGAAAAGACCACGATTTTTCATTGGAATGATGAGATCATGAGATCGGCAGAGAGGATTTGTCAGACTGTGGTGTAGATCTTGGTGGCTTTCATATTTTGGGAGAGTTGGGGTCATATCTCACATCACACACCAAGAAAAATTTCAAGCATTGAAAAGACCACCAAAATAGAAGAAAACGTGACAGAATTATTTTGTAACCTTAGAAGGGAAACTTCAAAATTATGAGTCAAAATCCAAAGGTATAAAAATGATTAGTATATGTGACTACAAAAAATTAAAATCTACATGGGGAAAACATCATCAGCAAATTCAAGAGGCAAACAAACAAACAAAAAGCTAGGGGACACATTTGTAATCCCACCACAAATGAAAGTTTTATCCCTCGAATAAATAAATTAATCAGGAAAAAAGACCAACTTATGAATAAAAACATATAGAAAGTTGTCAAAAAAGAAATTATGGAAGGGCCAGGGATTTAACTCCGTGGCTCTGCTGCCTGCCTCGAGAGCGCAAGGTCCTGAGTTTGATCCCCAGTACCAAAAAAATAAATAAAAGGATATCTGTAATATATGAAAATATGCTCAAATTTCACTGATAATAAAAGGTACAAGTTAAAATACATGTGAGCATATTTGTTTACCTCAGCAAAATCAGAGGAGGTGGTTTACACACTGTATAGGCAAAGACCTGAGGGAAATGGGCTCTCTCATATATTGATATAGTAAATACAAAGTCTCTTTGGAAGGAATTTGTCATTATCTGTCAAAATGACAATGCCCTGTAGTCTTTGACCCCTTTCTCAGGATATTTGATTTCACAGTGCATGAAACATGTGTACAAAGATATTCATTGCAGCAGCACTGTTTGCAATAGCAAAAGACTGGAAGCAATGTGAATGTCCATTAATGGGCACTGACTAAGACAGTGTGGGAAAGATCTGGAAGGATGTGCTGGGCCGTCTAGAAAGCAATGTGGTTCCTGTGGAAGGAGTGTACTAAGCAGGCCAGGAACTATGTGGGAGACATCATGGTTCATCTTTTTATATACTTTCTGATTTTAGAATCATGTATATGTATTATCTAGTCAAAATTTAATTTACTTAAGTAACTAGGAGCCCGTCACCACGTGTGATTTCCCCTAACACTAACCCCGCCAAAACGGAATCTCTAGGATCAAGCCCTGCCATAACTCACCCCTCAGGACTGTACTAAATTATTTGTTAAAGAAAGACTCTACCCCCATGAGCTCTAGTTTCTGAGTTTAATGTAACATTGCAAAGTGCCCCCCAAATGAGAGACTGAGTACAGAGTGAAGCACCATCTGCCCAAGTCTTTTAAGATGGATGTCATAATTATGATGAGTCTTCTAGAAAAAAAAAATTAAATCTAGAGACAGGAATGGTTTCCACTTCTCTAATCCTTTTGGCGGGATATTATATATATATAGGAAATAAATGAAAGATTTAAAAATAGTCCATTTTGAGCCGTGGATGATCAGTGGATGAAGTGGAAGGCAGCTGGCCTTCAACCACGGTTTCCAAACACTTTTATCCCCATTGCACTGATGGTCTGTCCAAAGTAACGATACATATGTTAATTAAAATACCAAATGAAAACCCTATACTCATGGCTAAGATGGGAAGTCAGCCAAAAAAAAAAAATCTGTCTTTTCTGGTATTTACTCAAGTTAAATCTATACACAGTCTACGACCCAGCATTTTTGGTCTTAGGTTCACACCAAGAATACACTCACTTACGCAGCAAAATACATGTGTGAGAATGTCCTTAGAAGCACTACTCATGACACCCCAGAACATGACATTAACCAAGTGTTCAAGATCAGAAGAGACAGATACATTTGTGGCATTTTTCCAGCCACGACATTCCCTACCACAATGGGGCTGACAGAACTGGGATTACATGCAGTAATCTCTCACAAGGGATGCTGAACCTAAGAAGACAAACCAAAAAAGAGAACAAATGGTGTTTTATTTGTATGTGGAAATAACAACAAAAAGGGAATCACTGGCTTTAGGAAGTGAGGATGGTTGGTGGAAGAGGGTGTGGAGGATATTCCTGGGGATTAGTGACCAGGATGATCAGTTTGTACAAAGCTATCAAGCCACAAGCCTTACTATTTGTAACCTTTACATTTTGGTTATGCTTTCACTTAAAAGTTAAAAAAAACTTATTTCAAGCCAGAATGAGCAGAGTATGAATTCATTTTTGTATGTCATGGGCTTAACATCCAAGTAAGTGCTCTCCTAGGCCCTACTGTGTTACCAAAGAGATTCCAACAGAGCCTGAAAGCACAGGATGCTCTCAGCAGTAATTCCTGAGGGATTATACAGAGTCCAGCTTGGACTATTCAGAGGGGTCCCTCACTCCCCAGCCAGACAGAGCAAGCAGAGCCTGCACGACAGCCAGCCCAGAGAGGTTATTTACTGAGCTTCCAAGCACACCTGCCATGGTGTGTCATGCTCCGCTTTCCCTGACGCCTGAAATTCCCATGGACGTTAATCTTCTGGATAATCAAAATCCCTCTCCTTCAAACAACTCCGCCATTGAAAATGAAATCATTTATAACAAAATCCTTTCTACATAGCATCTAGCACATTCCTGACTTTTTGCAGATCCACAGAATAGAACTTAACTTAGACAACAAGCCACACCACTTATAATGAGGTCACCATTTGGGCACTGCCCCAAATACTTCCCATCAACTTTTCTCTCAGTTCTCATGAAATCCTTATGAAATTGGTACTGTTTTTTCCTGTGTTGTGTGTGAGGCTTAAGATGATTAAATGCCTGTCCCAGGGCACACAGCAAATGCAGTGAGGCAGAGAATATACTCTCTCAAACCCTCAACTCAGGAGCAGTGTTCTGTGTCTTCCCTACAGATTTGCTGATGACTGACGGATTGGACACGACCCTCCACAGCGCCGACAGGTAGGCAGGAAGACTAGCTGAACCTTTAGAGAGGTGGTTGGAGTTCTCATTGCTTCTCTGTCTTTCTTTTCTTTTTCCTTCAGTGTTTTTCCCCCCTCCGGTGCTGAGGAATGATCCCAGGGTTTCACACAAAGTGCTGGGCAAATGCCCTACCAGTGAGCTGAACACAGCCTCCTTCATCAATATTACACTATTTGTTTCCCACAAAACTATTTTCAGTATGCTACACCCCCTAAAAAAATCCCTACCTGAAATGTGATTTTTAAAAATCTTTGTTTCTACTTCTTTAAGTTCTCACTTCTTAGGTCTTTCTATTTGGCTAAAATCTCCCATGAAGTTGGGACAACTTCTTGAGCAATTTCAGAAACCCTCTGGTTCTCTGCATTTCCCAGTGTCATGGATTTGCCTTTTCTTAACACAGCTGAGGAGGATGCCTGTGATGCTTGTCAGAGTAACGAAAACAGTCCTCCACTGGGGTCCATCTGGCCTGTAGCCGCTCTCCAGAAAACTACGACAGCCGTGAAGATAAGCACCAACCCATGCAGAGTCAGTTCTGGCAAGGTTTATCAGCCAGCAGGACTGCAGAGAAAAAAGAACTACTGTCCTTACCCTGTTTTCAAGCTGACCAAGGCGTCCTCCACTCCCTTCTGATTAAATTTGGTCATGTACTGATGCATGTAGGGGTAGTTATTCCGAATGTTCCTCTCTGTGCTCCCGTTAGGTACCGTTCCAAAGCGGAAAGGCGGGGAATAGTCGTGAGGTCTCTGAAACTGAAGAGAGAGAAAAAAGACAAGGAGAAGTGGCGGGGGGCAGGAAGAGGGAAAAAGGAAGAAGAAATTAGCCATGATTTTGTTTCTTGTCAGGAGTTAAACACATTCGTTCATGCAGGACAATTTTTAAAAATTTACTTTGTTCTTGATCACTTCGTCCATTGGTCCATGAGTTCCAGTAGGTTGGGAACAGTGTATTTATTTTTGGAACTATCCCTCAATTCCTAGCACAGGACTTAGCTGTGTGCTCAGTAGATATTTGTTGGGGTGAATTTTCAAGTGCTCTCAGAGAGACAAGCACACAGTTGTCGTGCTAAGGAAATGTTCATCTGGAATAGATATATGACTTCCGCCCAGTTCATTTATCTGCTTCACGAAGAAGTTTCCTGTGGTCCCCCTACCCACCTCTTTACCTCCACACCATTTACAATTACTTTGCACCCACCAGAAAATGTCTCTGTGTTGCCATTCACCCATCCTCCACTCACTGGCTCATTCATTCCCAAAAGCAGTACTCTTTGAGTGTCTTGGATGCCCCAGGCATAGGGCCTGACCCCCAGAAGGCTCTGTGACTAATAGCAAAGCTGAAGTCCCTAACAACGCAGTAGCTTCCTGCCAATGTCCAGGAAGTTCTCGAACCTACACAAAGCCAAGTTTGTCCATGCTCCTTGAATCTTCCCTGACTAATATTGTCTGCATCACCCCTGAGGAGAACTAGGATGCCTAGCACCATGTCCCTAAAACACCTCTTTTGCACTCCCAAGACTCCTGCCTAGTCCAGGGCACATTGTAAGGGCATCACCAGATGGGGTCCAAGGAGGTCCCCCAAGAGGAAATGGGGACCTTAACTCCTCCCTTCTGTGGAGTAGGTTGTAGGTTCACTGAGTTGTGCCTCAGAAGAAAATTACAGGACAGGTCAGCGAGAGGCATTAGAAAGGTTTATTAGGCAAAACAAATGTACACACTGAGAGAGAATCAAGTGCAGGCCCCCCAGATAGAGGCACATTATGATCTGGGAATGGCAGTTTTGTGTGGTCTTGAGGGTGTTCTCAAGATGGGTAACCTAGAATATGTATTGCTACTGTCTGTCAGGCCATCCACGTGGTGCTAGGTTAGAATGCAAACCGTGTGCCTGTGTTTGAAATTTGGAGATCTGCTGCCCACTTACATACCCATGCTGCTCCCTTAAGGATGGAAGTCTGTGAGAAGCAGAATCATTTACAGGAAAAAAGAACAGGATCCAATTCACAGACTTATTGTGTCTTTAAGACCCCAAGGAATTTTTTTAGTGAGCTTTCAAGAAGGGAAAAGGGCACTGTAAATTTGGGCAACTTTTATGTCCTGAAACTGCAGCTTTTCTTAAAAGCACCATTTTAAAATTACAACTTGCCTTGTGTCCTTACTACTCATCTCTATTTCTTCCATCTTACCTCAGGGGGCAGGAACCAGACCACTGCGATAAGTATTATCTGAGGGGACACTGGGAGCTGGACAAACCGCTGCCCTTCTGCTTGTATGCTGAGTCAGTTGTTCCTTGGAACGCTGGTTATACAACGGAACAAAGCAAGCTAATGGTGTTACTGTTTCTGCAGCCTGATCTGTGATGCTCACCTCCCTGCAGTAACTAGGTGTGGATCCAAGCAATGTGGAGCCCTACAGCCCAGCCAGCAGCCACTGCATACTCTGAGAAATTCTCAGGCACTTTCCCGGGCTGGCCTGCTGCTCTAGTCCAGCCCCCTACCACCAGACATCCCAAGTAGCTCCTGCTGACTTCCTGTCCAGCCCACTGCCACCGGACCCCATCCTTTTCTGCCACCAAGTCTCAAATAACCCCATTTCCCACAGGCCATCTCTTGGCAAAGCACACCTCAGCCCCAGTACAGCTGTGGGCGTGACACTGTGCTTTCTCAACTTTGATCTTTCAGGAACCCAACCTGGTTTAGAAGTTAAGAGAACTGAGTCTGATCCCAGAAATACAAACCTAGAAACAGCACTGGAGGGGCTGAGTGTGTGTTCAGGCCTCCTGGTTGGAAAGTTAAACTATCATTTACAAACTATGCAACCTTAGACAAGTCACTTTACTTCCTGCTGCCTCAATTTTCCACCTGTGGAATGGGTCTCTCCAAGGTACTTCCCTTATAGGGTCACTGTGAAGAAAAAAAACCACATTTTTAAAGTAACTGAAATAGTTCCTGGAACTGAATAAGAGGTCAAAAATAAAGCTTTTATCGCTTTTTGTTTTTATGATTGTTGCAGGAAAAAAATATAACAGGCTGAATTTTTCTATGAAATATGGAATCGTGGAACTAGAAATTAGTGGTAATGATGACTGGAACTTTTCGAAGACTTAGTTGGAAATAACACTGTGCCACGTGGTTAATCCTTGCAATAGCCCTACTAGGTAGCTAATCTTAGAGACCCCATTTTACAGATAAGGAAACTGAGGCTCTGAGAAGTTACACAACCTATTAACAAATAGTCCAAAATTCAAACCTAGACATGCTTCCCCCAGTGTTAACTCTGTAATTCATCAGAAACCATTGCCAGAGAATCCTTCCGTGGTTAGAGAAGGGGACCTGAAGACCCAGACCGGAAAACGATACCCACCAAGTTGGTGCCAGAGCTAGGACTATGATGCAAAAGTCTCTCCAACTTCTGATCCAGGGCACCTTCCACAGAACCAAGAACTGTTAGAGAAGGTGTCCAAGTCCTCCCAATACTTAGACCAACCGGAAACATTCCTCTTTCTCTACACTCACATTTCATGTCACTGTTAATTAAAATTTCCATTGAGAACTGGTTTCCTTGCATTAGCCATGCTGCTGCCTAATAAGCAGCTATCACTGGATTTGGGAGAAGTAGGCAGCCATTGTCCAAATGGGATTCTCCTTTCAAATTACACTTGGCACTGAGTGTGAGTGTGTGTGTGTGTGTGTGTGTGTGTGTGTGTGTGTGTGCTCATGTACAATCACTCAGTCCTGCAACATCCCCACTCCTCACCAAACTTGAAGGCACAAGCCCAGGCTCATTTCAGACGGCCACCTGCTCTGGGGAGCAGTGGTAACAGCACTCTACCTTTCAAATCACTTGGCACTGAGTGTGAGTGTGTGTGTGTGTGTGTGTGTGTGTGTGTGTGTGTGTGCTCATGTACAATCACTCAGTCCTGCAACATCCCCACTCCTCACCAAACTTGAAGGCACAAGCCCAGGCTCATTTCAGACGGCCACCTGCTCTGGGGAGCAGTGGTAACAGCACTCTTTATAAATCTCATGCTGTAGCAGCCGCTGCTGGTCTCTAGGACACCAAGAGATGGCCTAGTTGACTGAGTGCCTCCCACTTCACTCCCCATCTGTCACTGAGAAACAGTGTAGCTCTAAGATTCGCTTTCTTCCTTCCCAATGATTTGCACAGTGGTGGGGACAGACACACGGTCTCAGGGACACTCCCGTACTTCCCTGGCATTGACACACCATCCCGTACGCAATGTTCAGCCCAGGGTCAACATCCAGAACCTTTCCTATTACAACTAAGACTGCCGATGTTTTTTTGAGACAGGGTCTCACTTTGTAGCTCAGGCCTTCCTCGAACCCACACCAATCCTTTTGCCTCAGCCTCCTGAGTGCTAGGATTACAGGTGTGTGCCACCAAGCCTGGCCAGACTGCCAAACTTTTGAAAGCATCACTCCCAATACACTTCCTGTTACCAGCCTGTACACACACACATCTCACAGGAACCTCTTTCTGTGTGTAATGTACACTGACGCTATCCATTATGTTCTATATTTTTCATGGTCACAACCCTCAAATTAATGTCAAGCTTCACTGAAAAGCATGACCTGCAGTATGACAAGTCAGGAGCCAGGATGGCTCACCTCTGATGATGACCTCCAGGGAATCTTTCTCCCAGAGCACTGCATGTGTAAACAGAAAGGAACACATGTGGGCTTCAGCAAAGGAAGGGGAGGTGCCCAGGTTCCCACCATCGTTACAGGGTTCAGAGCCCAGAGATCTCCTCTGGTCTTCTCTCAAGGATGCCCTCGCTGGGCCTTGGGCTTAGGGAAGTCACAGCAGCTTCTCATCTTCCACTTAGGAAGTGCACAGTTGTGAGCTTCCCATTCAGCTCTCTGAGCCTCAGTTTCTCTATCTGTAAACTTGGATTTGCTTTTGCAATTGTATAGTACTTGGGAAAACACCTGGCCTCCTCTACTCCTTCATAGATATCACGTCACATGTTGCATGTTACTTGCACTCATATCAGTCCTGGAAACCTGTCACTACCCACAGCAGCTGCAGCCACATAACAGAGCCAATAACCCTCCAGTTCGGAGAACACAGGTCGCACCTTCTGAAAAAGGCTTCCCCTTCAATGTGGAGACAAGTCTGAAGGTCATGCAAAAGACTAAAATATGGCAAACATTTATAATGGAGAGATAGAGAGGTGGGACTGGGAAATAAACTTTTAAGGCAATGCAGCAATTAGCTAGGAAATTTCTTTATGTTTGTTATGAATCGAAAGTTACACATTTCATAAAGCTATTTGTTTTCCGCGTCTTGAAATGAGGGACATCTGGCAAGTGGAGCGCCTATTCCTAGCACAGTCTCCGGTGGGTGCAGTGATACATGCTTCATGCGAGCATCAAACAGGTGCGGTCTGCAGCAGAGCAGTTGGCTTGGGGCCCTCCCTGCCCCTGCCAGGACCACTCAGCGGTGCTGGCACAGTGCACAGAGGCAGCACGACTCCTTGAGAACACAAACGTGGGCTCATTTGCTAAGGGAAGCCCTCTATGTTTCCTCCTTGGGCTGCTGCAAAAGACCAGCTCAGTGCAATAGCATTCTGGGCCCTAAAAGCCAGGAATGGTTTGGATCAGGAGGTAATGAAAAGGAGGACTGTGAGAAAGAAGGAAGGAGGGAAGAGCATGAGACAGAGAGGCATGGGAAGAGGAAGACGAAAGGAAGAAATAACACCTGTGATGGGATCACCCATGGGATAATTTCTAGCCCTCCCATTGACCTTGCCAGAAAGGTGCTGCTACCATCCCTTCATAAGGAAGTTACGCCTTGGGGATACGCAAGTATGCGAAGATATACAGCCCTTACAAGGCAAGATCAGGATTTGAATCAGGTCCATTTGACCCAAAATATGAAGCTGCCCCCCAGCATTACCTGAATCTCCCTTCCAGAGATGAGTTTCCTACATCATAGTGATTCCCAACGTGTTGGAAAAGGTCTCTACCAACGTCTCCACTTGCCTTTAATAATTCCCAGGAAAGTCTGTCCCCACAAACTCACTAATAATGTAAGCCTGTGCTTACCTAAGCACACCGTGGATGTTGTTCACAGCAACACTAGAGGTTGTACACTGATTGTTGTATAATTATTTATGAGTAAAAAACAAAGCAATCACCGCCGTGTACAGTATTAAAATAAACAGACCCAATACAGGTTTGTGTTTTGCAAATTTTCTTGTTGTGTCTACCATTGATCTTCTGGGAGCAGTTAGATCATTTGCTCTAAGAAGTTTGCTGTTTATCTAGTTGTAACCAATATTTAATTAAAAGAGCTACTGGCTTCCCTTTAATGCTCCAAGCATGGAAACTAACCTATGCCCCCTGATGATAAGGTATCTGCTACCGGGGATTTCCAATTCAGAGAAGGTCAAATTATTGGTGCATTTAACTAGTTTTCCCACAAGTGGTCTTCTTACGTAGACCTAGAACTATAAAGTGAGGGATTTTTTCCCCCTTTGCTTTTGAAAATAGCAACAAAGAACAAAACACACTGCCAAACACTTTCTTGAAAATCTTTCTCTTTCAAGACTTGGCTTCCCCTGGTTCTACCATAACTTCCAGTCCCTTCTAGGAACTCCTTGTTTTGATGCTGTAACACAATGAAGTCACATAACAGTCTTTGTATCTGTGGAGCATCTGACGGGGTAGGAAGTGGATTAGCGCATGTGGTTTCCTTGGATCATTTCTGTAACTCTGTCTCCCTGACTGACAGAGAAGAACAAGCAGGCCCAGTGAGGTGACAGAACACAGCTAGTTGTGGCAGACAGGAAATGGGAATCAAACTTTCCTGACTCTAAATGCAGCACTTTGGTGCCTCCAGGATGCCTTTGTGCTTTGGCTGCTCTACCAAAAGCCAACCCTGAGCCAAGAAAATGGGTAAACACGATTAGTTAATGACAAACTCCAGGAGAAACCAATAAGGGAGTAGTGGTGAGGTTAGGAAGGACTAGAGAAAAGCCAACCACAGTCTGATAAAAGCCAATGCCAGTCTCTGCCTGATCCTGCAGGAAACTGTGGAGAACCAACTGTGCCTCGGTGTTTGTCTTGCTTTAAAAGCTAGAGTGAAGCTGGGCTTTTGTATTCATCACACAGGTTGTAGGTGGCAGCAAGGACAGGCAGAACTTAAATCCAAGGCGTTGACCATCTCAGTGTCCAGAGATAATAACCATCTGAAGATTCCTGGTAGGAACCTACAGCAAAATAGGTAGAGTTGTGGCTGGGCACAGAGGGCCAGAAAAGGGATCCCCGGAGACCCAGGTGGGGGTGCTCAGTGTGCGTGTATTCACCCAGCCGATAAGTAGGTATTGAGCGCCCCAGGGCCAGCGAACTCTGTGAAAAGTGAATACATTTTTGTTCTTGTTGATATTCTTCATCTTATCTGGGGAAAGGGAATTTAGAGGAGCACGGAAGGAAGTGGGGGGAGGGGAGGGGAATTCGAAAAGGAATCAAGCTGTGTTATGTGTATGTACCCAAGGTAATGAGCTGCACATACTAAAAATAGGTACTAATAAAACATAAATAAATTTGAGGGAAAAAAAGATGCTGCACGTAAAGTACTCGGTACAGTGGCAGGCTGGTACGAGCTAAGCCCTTAACGTTGAAAAAAAAAAAGAAAAGAAAAGAACGGTATATACACAGTTTGATAAAAATATATGGTAGATGTTTAGATTAGAAAGTTTGTTATAACAAAGGACACATTGCTGTTAACCCCCTCAAACAGTCCTCTTGGCTTGGGGCACACTCATCGCGGCGTTCTTGCCCCTCTCAGGGGCAGTCCTGGAAGCCCTCCTTCATGTCTCTGCAAGGCAAGATGAGAACTATGATGCACGTGCTGCCGAGTGCCATCCGGCAGAAAGGTGGGCCCATGAAAGCGCTGTGGAGAGCCTTCATCCGCCTTATTCACTGGATCTGGCCCCATATGACTTCTGGCTCTCCCTCAAAGTCAAAGTGACCGTGAAAGGTGAACATTTCGAGTCAATTCGGGATATTGACGCAGCTACCAAAGGGCACCTAAAGACACTCATAGAAGAAGACTCCCAGAACTTCCTCAAAGTGGCAAGGAGGATGGGATAAGTGTGTCTGAAGTGCGTGCATGTGTGTCTGTGTGTCTGTGTGTGTGTGTGTGTGTGTGAGAGAGAGTGAGAGAGAGAATGTGTAGCGTTTCAAGAGCAATTACTAGTAATGTGTATTTCTCTTGAATTTTTTAAAAAATTTGAACATTCACTGTTTGATCAATCACACCTCATATCCAAAGTCCTCACATCCACAGCGGTCTCCCCCAACCCAGTTTTTATCACCTCGGTCTTCCTTCCTTCCTGACATTTATTCTTGCTTGACATTTTCTCCTTCTCTGACGTTTGAAAATCTATTATTTATTTCTACCCACTCAACTTTCACGTTGGTCAGGAGCTTGGGATCAGCCACCCGAGTTCACCCCAGTAGCCAGGAAAGACCTCTCAGAGGGGGTAATATTGTGCCTAACACCTGAAATTCAAGGCAGAGCCAAATGTCGGAAGACTGCAGGCAAAACATTTAATCACAAAAGTACTGCAGTAAAAATGAAGTTGGAGCCTCAGGGAAGGGAGAGGGACCTTTGGTGAGCAAGAGGAAGGGGGGGGGTTGGACAAGAAAGGGCTCTGTGTGCCCTGATAGGTAGAGGGGCACCTACCCCAGCACAGGAGGGAAGCTTCCCAGAAAGGCCAGCTACGCACAGGGCATTTTTGTGACGGTGGCTCCATTTCTAATCCCACCCTTTCCTCGTCTCTCCTGATGGGCCTATTTGTACCTCTCTCACACAGTGTACGCCACTGGGAAAGCTGTAAAGGCTTTTCATGGGCTGATTTTCTATTCAGCAGTTTGTTGATGAATGCCAAAAGGGTATATGCAGACTTATGTCAACGAGATAGGACAAGGAGGTTTTATAAAGATACAAATTATCCTCACACAGAGGAAAGAGAAAAATCTCTGCTGTGCTGCAGTCTCAGCAGTGCTGAGCTCAGCGAGTCGGGATTTGTTTCCTGAATTAAAATTTCAATAGGAGAAATGCACCCAGTTTACCTTTTTCTTTCCCTCTATGTGCATTTCTGAATAGTCACTCAAACCCCTCACTAGAATTTGGTGGGGAATGAGGAGAGCAGGTGTTATCTACCCACCTGCCTGGGGGGAAATGGGTCTAAGAAAAAGGGACGGTGGAGGATGAGAAACCTCTCTGGTCCCTTCTAGTCCCTCACAGAAATTTCAGCAGAGTTGGACGGGGGAAGATGCGGCTGACTTGGCTACACAGGGAAGCGCAGCCATGTAGAAATTCTGTCTCTGGGTAGTGATTAGAGAGGACTTTCGTCCACGTAAGACATGAAGTATATAAGAGCTCATGAGAGCTAGGGCAGCCCTATTTCCTCCTTGTGTAGACCCCAGCCCTTCTCAGCCTCACACTCTGCCGAGAGGTATGAGCTACCGTGAGTCACAGAGCCTCAGTCAAAGCATCCTCAGAAAGATGGTATAAATGTGAGAAATGACCACGCGGGGGAAATTATGCTTCCAAATCAGATGCAGAATCTTTACAACTTGGGGGAGCTCAGCGTAAGTTCTGTTCCGAACTTTATTTAGAACTATTCCCATCTGAATTAGGAAAAAAATCATCTGGCTTTGAGCTTTAGAGCTGATGACGGACTGGGGAAGACAGGCACCCTGATCCCTTTTTTTCTGAAGACAGCAGTTAAGACCAACCGCCAGCCCAAGAGGAATGTGCGATGATGACCTTACCTTTTTGTCACTGAGGCCAGTCACTTGGTCCACAAATTCCTCCTGGATCATGAAAGCGGCCAGATTGGCCGTGTAGCTGGCCAGGAAAATGACGGCGAAGAAGGCCCACACAGACACCATGATCTTGCTGGTTGTGCCTTTGGGGTTCTGGACAGGCACGGAGTTGTTGAACACCAGGCCCCAGAGGAGCCATATAGCTTTCCCGATCGTGAAAGAAGGCCCGTGTGGTGCTGCAGGCAATGAAAAGGACATTCTCAGAGTTTTCTCGACGTGCACACTCGTGCATGTGTAACACCTATGGCGTGGCCACCCGCAGCAAGGAAGGCTGCCAGAAGCTGGAATTGTGTCCTAGCCTCGTCCTGGATCACAGTCACAGTTAACTTCTTTTTTTCTTTACAATTAGCATTCTTCCCACATTTCTATCTAACTGCATTTTTCCATCCTTCTTGAAAGAAAAAAGAAAGAAAACGGTTATGCAAAATGGGGGTTTGAATGAGAAGCAGTGTTATGACCTGTTTTAAATTTGGATTTGATTTCCTTTTCGGGGAACTGATCTCCTTAATAAATGTAAAGAAAAGCTGAAGAAAAAAAGAACGTGGGACTGTGTGGGGCTCACTGCTTGAGTATTCGTCAGATGTGCTATCAGGGAAGAGCCATGCAATTCATCTGCACTGATGTTTGGTATTCAAATTCAATTGTTCCTAACAATTGCTCCTGTTCAAATTCACATGTAAAGCGTGCACAATATAAAAATTAGACCAAACTAAAATTCTCTGCAAATGGAGGCATTCAGGGGAAGAACAATACAGCTTAATTCTTCCAGCACTCCACAGATGGAAGACATTTCACTGCAGGGTCACAGAAAATGAACTCTGATATCACAGGGCTTTCTCTCCTCTGTGCATCCTTACAACAGTTACGTGTCCTTTTCCAGATTCCTAAATGCTCCTTGCAACAGACTTGTCTAAAGAGGCAGAGCAGTATGTGGGGATTTATTCGGATGAGGCATAGGGAGGCTGTAAAACACTCCTCACGTTAAGGCTTTCAAGCCTTTGTTTTGCAAGAAGAATCAATGTATGCCCGCCCTTCGTGAGGGGGAGAGGTCTTCCTTTAACAGGAGGTTAATTTTCATGTCACTTAAGTAAATGAAGATATGGAAAAATGATCTACTGGGACTTCAGGTGGTGATGCCAGCAGAGTGGGCAATAAATAAGTGGTGGAAGTGAAATCAGATTGATGGAAATGATGAGATTCTGGGCATGGAGCCGAAGAAAACCAAACTTTCTGCACACTAGAGGCTGAGCTTGGGCTCCAGTACCCTGACAATGGCCATAATGCAATGCAGTGAGGAGAAGGCAAGCAACTCTGCTCTCAAACTTGCCTGTTTCCTTTTTGTCTACTTTTATGATCTTCTGGGCTTATTCCCAAGAAGCTGGGAACTCTTAGGGAAAAAAAAAAACTAAATTCAATCCAGTTATCTTCAGAAACTATTCACTTTTATTAGAGATGCATGTGGATCGGAAGTGACAGCTGTTTGGTAATCAGAAATAGGTATATGCAAGAGACCTTCTCCAACACTGCTGGGAGTTCCCGATTAGTGAATACTATCACTGGGCCATATGACTTTCCCCATAAAGCACAACGAAAGGTAATGTACAACCCAAAGAAATAAGGAGCTATCATTTCCCGAGAGTCGTCACATGTACATGAGCAGGAGACAGGAAACGTCCACGTGATGGGAGGGCTGGGGAGTTTGCCTGCTAAATTTCTTTCTTTACGATAATTTCCTTCTGCATGCTTCTGCCCAGGGAGAAACTACAAGTGATGGTCTCTGCATCATCTCTCCCCTTCTTCATTTCCCTCACATGTGTTTGCTTAGCTCCATCTTCAACGACCTCATTGGACACTGCCCTCAAGTCCAAAACCCTGTCAACTTTTTCCTTGGAAAACCATGAGGCTTCTTCACTGGCCTCCCTGTTTCCGCTGCTGCTGTCTCCTCCTGTCCTCTTGGCACCGCATACAGTGACCTCTTTTCATTTGTTATCCTGCTTTCCTCCCATGGTTGAAGAACATCTGACATGTTTGCTTACCATGCTCAACTGTCTGTCCGTCTGACTTTATCCTACCCCATCACCCACCTCGCTCATTCACATCCTCTCTGCTTCTGAAACATAGATTCCACCTCCAGGCCTTGGTATCTGATGTTTCCCTTGCAGGGACTGCATTTCCGTCTCACCCCTCCGGTCTCAGCTTAATGTCATTGCTTCTGAGTCATCTTTCTCTATTTCAATTTGCTGTCTAAAGTAACACCTGCTCACCACCAACAACAAACCACTCTGCTTTCTTCTAGTTCTTCTTGAAATATATTAAAACCCGTGATTATTACTATCTGTGCCTACATGCTTGGTACATAGTACCCACTCAATAAGTGTGTGAGTTCAGAATAGCATGGACTCTGATTGTGCAAATCTGAAGTTCTCTTTTACACCAGTATGCTCACTCACAGGACACGAGCCAGTTCCACTCCAATGGAAAGCCCTTTAAAGGTTAGTTACATCGCCCTTTTTAGTGAAGGCTAGAATCTCCCACTTAACCCCAGCATGATTATTTATCACATTTTACTGTTTCTGTTGATTGCAGACAGTTTATGTAGTAATCACTACTACTAGAAGAAGTGGGAGGATTTCAGTAAAACTCAATACCTTAACAGATTCCACTGGCCTGCTGGCTGCTTCCAATATTGGGTCTTCAAGTGAAAACGGTACATACTGAACTAGAGTGCCCTGTTTGGAGGGGCATTTGAGACAGCAGGATCTCCTACCCTCTACTGTATCAAGCCATTTTTTTTCCAGACTGAGATTTGGCACCTGAATCTCTTACTGATACCATCTACACAGAAAGTGCTGTGCAATGAAAAAAATATACTCTAATGATTTGAGCACTGGCTCATGTGGGAGCCTCATAATTAGCCACAACCAGTAAATGTCTCCCAATTCAATTTCTGATCTACTGACTGTCCCTTTATCAAGGATAGTGTCTGAAGGCCAGGCACCATCGGTGTATATCAAAAGGATACCGATACAATTAATTTTTAAATGGGAAAGATATAACTCTTTGGCGGGGGGGGGATTTTATAATATTTACTGTCACTCCAAAGCAAATATGATCCCGTAGTTTGAAGAATGCTTTTAAGCTAGATTCTATTAGCTGTTTTCTTTGCATGCACTAAAGTTAAGGCTCACCATGATATTAATATTTGTTTTGATAGGCATTGCAAAAGTTAATTGCCAAAGATCTTTAAAGGAGCTTTCTCAAGAAATTCATCATCAATAGTTTTTAATTGAACAATTATTGCTTTCACGCTGTAAGAAGGTTAAAATATTTGATTTTATTTTATCCTTTTCCCAGGTGAAGTAAATAAGCCACACTTAGCTGCCACTACAATTCATATTAATGGCCTGGCAGCATTACTATGATGTACCGAGGCAAGATAGGGTAATGTATTCTAAAACAGAAGTCATCACTAATGGTACAGGAAATAGCATCAACTTGGAATCGTGCTCATGCAGGCTTCCTTACCTTTCCCTTTGGCTAAGTTTCTGTTGTATCCAACAGGACTGAAGTATTCAAAGACAAAAACAGCTATGGCAGAGACAATGAGCAGCATTACAAACATCATCACCCAGACGGAGGCGCTGAATGGTTCTGCAGGTAAACAGACCAGAGTAATCGAAACAAAATCCATTAACTCTTTCTCACCTCCAGCAAGAAGCCCATTTGCAAGCTCGTCAAGAAACTCGAATTCCAATCCGATCACTCAAGAGAAGCTAGTCATTTTTTTATTCTCACTCTTAAATCATTCTTTGCTCTGTAAAATATCTGAGGCCTTCCATAAGACCGCATATACAATATGATAAAAATAGATAAAAGTGTACGGCATTTTTTACAAACCAGGTCAAGGATGACAGAAACACAAAAGAATGATAAGACAAAAGGAGCAGTCAGAATGCAAATAAACAGGCCACAGTGCTGAAGAAAATTATAGAACCATCCACGGAATCGAAAGCAAAGAGGAATGTGACCAGTCTCAAGCCGTGCATCACAAGGCATCTACAAACAGGCATGGGTTTGATTTTTACTTGCACTTGTATTTTTACATACTGGCAGAACGACATGCAGGCAGAGAGAACTGTAGTGTCTTAGGAAGGATTATAAATTGTAGGGTTCATGACAGTATTGAAAGGTGATCATTTGCACCCATGCCTCTCTAGCTGTCCTGCTGTAGGCAGGTGACAGCTCTATACTTGATAAATCATTCTAATGCTGGTAAAAGTGTTAAATGCAACTGAAATCATCAGAGGACCTGATGTTCAGATGAAAATCCAATGAAAAGGCATCATTTGAAGAGGAGAGGCACTCTGGGAGGCTGAGGCTAGAGGGTCACAAGTTTGAATGCAACCTGGGCAACTCAGAGACTTCATGAGATCCTGACCCAAAATAAACAATAAAAAGGGCTGAGTTGTAGCTCAATGTAAAGGCCCTGGATTCAGTCCTCAGTAGCAAAGGGTAAGGAAGGGTAGAGGCGTGGAGGCAATGAGGTGGTAGATGGATGTGGACAGGTGGTAATTTCTCTCCTAAAGGTCACTTTTGTCCATTCGTTTTCATGTGATTTGGGCAATAGGCATGTGTATTAGAAGGGCAGGCTAGGGCACAAAGTTCTGAGTCTCCAACATGCTATAAAGGTAAGAGAAGCGATGTAAAATAAATTACCATTTCTATTCAGCCTGGTTGACGATATGAACCTTAGCTGACTGAAGTCATTTTATGTATTTATGATATAGATTTACTAGAAAACCAACAGGGAGTAAAACTTTAAGAATACTATACCTCCACCTGATTGCACCATTGGGAATATCAGTGAACTTAAAATTGTTTTCCTCAGAGCCAAGCATTTTCTGAAGGTAAAATATGATAAGTGCAATAATGCCTCTTGAATAGGAAATCTTTCATTATTTTTCAGTTGTTTTCTAATGAAGCTAATAATAATCATAAAGAACTAGATTGACTGTAGGCCAACTTATTGGTGTCTGTGACCATATAACACAGCAAGAGATCATCCCCAAATTCTAACTTAATGAGCTTAAATGTTTAACAAGAAACTAGTATGACTGGAGCTTTAATTGCATCTGATAACTCAAAAACTGAAACAAATGCTGTGTTATACAATTTTGATAGTGAAAATGTGTTATAAAGCAACAGGTAACAGCACAACGTATTTAACACAAGATAAAGTCCAAGTAATCAATGAGACAGAAACTGAAATTTATCTTAGTTAAATTCAGCTTGAGCAATAAACAATATTATGTCCCTGAAACCAGATAAGTTTGGTAATGAGGTGCAACCAGAGAGGAGGGAAAGTCAATTAATAATTGGGAGATTAAGTAATATTTAATATTCAAGGATAGCAATGTCAATGTAATTCTTCAAGTCGGAAATATGAATGGAATGGTGTCTCAAGCCAGAGGAGGATCATGGCGGCGAGGACATGAGCATGCACATGTAAAGCACTAGGTATTGGGCCGTGCATATTGCATATATACAGTAAAACAAATGGAATCAGTGTTTGATGCCATCATTAAACCCAGAGATGGCGAGGGTGGGTGCTGTCCATGGTGCTGCTAAAGTGCCCCAATTTATTAATCTGGTAACTTTCATTTCTCTGTAGGCTCTGATAACATTATAACAAATCGATGGGGGACTTTGTGGAATTCTTCTGTTCACACATCAGAATCAGTAAACCTGAATTAGACTTCACTGGGCAGACATATCCTTGTCAGTAATACTTTGGTCAGAAAGTCAGATGGAAGTTGATCAGGCAACTAACTGATTCCAGACCCTTTTTTTTTTTTTTTTAACTTGGAAGTGACAATTTTTGTCTCTTGACTTGTCACTGGGCAAAGAGATCAAAAGGTTCTCTTCCAGTGTTCTGGTTCTGGTACATCAAGTACCTCTGAGTGTCTGGAAGTATTGATGTTTTTAGGCACTACTCATGCACACTACTCAGTGAAGAAAGACATTAGGAACTGGTAAGGAACTGTCTACAGTGTCCAAGGAATGACCAAGCAATATTCTATGATTGGTGTGGATTGTATGTCTGAAAACAGATTCAACATTTGTCCGGGAAAGAATTTCAATCTAGGAAACTCCAGGTCAGCACTTCTTTGGATCAAGGGTTCTAACCTGCTTTGAAAGTCTTTAGAATAAACTAGATGGAAATATTGCAAGAGATGTCACCTCTGTTCTTGAAAAGCCACTGGTTACAGCTGTTGCACACAGGCTTGTGGCGTTACCTGCAAGTGTTTTCGGATGTGAGTTAATGGAATTTACGGAGGATAGAGAATAGGAAATAATGAAGAGCAATGCAATCAGATTCTGAATGTTTTGGCTCTTCCAGATGACTGAACTAGTGAATGGAAAAATGTAGCTTAGCATGGTTCATTATGACTTTCAAAACCTGCAGATAATGTCTGTAAATAAGGGATGCACAGCCAATCGAAGAGGGATATAATTTAGTGACTAGGCATAAGATTAAACCTACTAGGTAACAACAGCTTTGAAAATATTCTCCTCTGACTTCAATTTATTTTATTTTAAAAGAGACAGTAAAAAGAACATGGGGTTGGGGGAGTTAAATTTAACAAAAAAAAAATGCTTGACCTTTTAATGGAAATGTTCTTCACATACAGATAAGATAAAATCCAGAGAAACTGGGTTGGGGCCAGATTCAGTATCAGCGACCCATTTTTATAAGACAAGCCAATTGGTATTTTTCTCTCTGGCACCAAGAAGATATGGAGACACATTCTTGGGGAAAAAAAATTTATAAACTCAAATCCTCCATCTTTTTTTAACATTGAGAGCAAAAGCTCTTCATCAGAGTCTGAGAGGCAATGGGGAAAAATGACTAGCAGTGACTTACAAGCGAGTGCCCATCTACTAATTCAGATTCTGCCCATGCCAATATCAGTTGGTTGCATTTTTCCTTGTCTGGTGAAGTTCCCTTGCTATGTCTCATCCATATACATGTCAGACAAGAGGAAGAAAAGGAACATAATGACATATGTGTTTGTCAAGCTCTACATTGTTCCAGCAAAAGTTACGAAAGTTGAAGCAATGAGTGCAAAATCAAATCCAGTGAGTGAGTGTCAGGAATTTCCACAGCTTAACTGGATTATCAAAACTGAAAATAGAAAAACCCATACGGCTCTGTGATTACGGAAGTTTCCTGCAATCCTGTTCGTCAACATTTCACTCAAGAGAGAATCAGGAGAGTTGCCCTGGGTGCTGACATTACAGATAAACAAGATGTTGGAAACAGAAGACCATGGGAGTAGAGTGGGCATCCACAATTGGGTCTAGTTAACAATTTTCTTTAATAAAGTTTTTAATATCTGTAAAAAATGTTAGAAATTCGGTTGACCTTAACAAAACTGTTTTTCCTCTCTCATGCAGTTTTCCTCTAAAGATAAAGGGTTATCTGAATCTCTCCAAATGTAGTGCAAATCCATGTGTGGAGGTATGCAAAGGAGGAGTTTATCTGAATTCCATGATCTTTGACAAGGCAATTGCTGGAAAAAAAAAATCACACAGTCGGCACAACACTTTAATGCAGAACTTTATAATAGTGCTTGGACATTTTGTGAAATTTTCTCCTACCCTAGCCAGGCTACCTAATGTATACACAGTTACAGGGCTGAAAACAGTAACAACTACAAAAAAAGAAAAAAGACCATAGAAAATATAATTTTACCTTTAGGGAAAAAAATCCATTTAGGTGAACATATAAATTTATGAAGTGTTTACAAGAAGAGTCAAATAGATTTTCTGCTTTAGCAACTATTTGGCTCAGAGAATAGCCACATTTAAAATATGGTCTCGTTAATTTTAAATCAGTGTATACTCTTCAGACTACTTCTGTTCTGCTCATCAGAGCACAGTGGTCAATCGTTACTTGCCCTCTTGCATCTAGCAAATAAATGAGTGGCATCTGAGTTTGCGATGAGGACGGGTGTGTGGATGCTGAGCAAAGGTTTATGGGCTGATGCAAATGAACTGTGGACAGACAGGTTTATTTATGTTTTAAATGATTTCGAGGCTCTCCACTGAGTATCCATTAATTTACATTCTGGAGAGTCAGGACTGGGAATCTGACTATGTGATAGTACTTTTATCAACAGAAATTTCCAAGTTAAACATAAATGAAGGATGTAGCCTGATGAGTCAGAAGAGACGGGTGTGAACTGGAGTCATTCAAATGCAAAACACTCTGGGAATACACTGATATGGTCAAACAGAATCAGACAAGTTCTAGCCTGTTCCTTAAAAAAAAAAAAAAAAACTGAACCCAGGGGCGTTCTACCACTGTGCTAGATCTACATCTAGCCTTTTAAAAATATTTTTATGAGACAAGGCCTCACTTGGTTGCCCAGGTTGGCCTCAGACTTACAATCCTCCTGCCTCAGCCTCCCAAGTAGTTGAGTCCACAGGCATGTGCCACCACTGCCCTCTTGATGCTATTATTTGAGCAACAAGAAAGAAGGCCTGTCATTCCTTGTAGGAAAGCGGTTGTCACCACAATGGTCACATACCTAGAAAAGCAGAAGGTGAAACGGTGCCATTGCTCCTGGAAACCATGACACTGATTCCTGTCTCCACAAAGGGCACAGAGAAGTCCACCACTTCAGAGCGCTCCTCGTTGATGGTGAGCGAGCCCACAGCCATCACTGCCCGTTGATAGACCACCTGGACGCAGGACAGAGCAATGCGGTCACTTCTCCCCAGCACACCCAAGACCTACAGGGGACGGAGAGCTGGAGGAGGGAAGGCAACGTACCTCACCAATCATTCCATTCCACACGTTGTTAACCTTTTTGCCATGCTTCCCATTGGTCACCAGGTAGAGGTCGTAGGTGAACTTCACCGTTCTCGAGAGCTTCTTCAGGATGTCGATGCAGAAGCCTTTGCAGCACTTTTTAATGTTCATCCCCTCATTGGTTGAGTTGCTGCGGACAGTCACAAGGCCACAGAACATGACTACTAGAAGGTTTGTGCACCTGGTTAGTGACACTCGTACATCTCAGACAGGAAACTGTGGCTCAGAAAGGGGGAAGTGACTTTCCCTAGGACACACAGTGAGTTCAGGACAGTGAAAGCAGAAAGTGTTCTTAATTACAATAGTTGTCATGAAACAGGTAATACTTATTGAGTGATTCTTATTGGCTAGGCACTCTGCTAAATGTTGTGTACTAATTGTTGGCGTACCCTCCACACTTCACTGAGTTATATGCCGTTTGTACCCCATTATACAGGAAAGTATCACCAACCCTTATTTTTAAGAGTTTCTAATGCACTTCTTTAGGCCCAGAGTTTAGTCATCTGATGTAAATTGAATCATAAAAGCACACGGGAAGTGGAGAGAGCAGAGGATGTGAAATTCTCAAATGAAGTAGGATTTTACTTCAGCCTCTAGTTACAAATTTTTGAAACCAAAGGGAAGGAGTGAGGGTCTCCAGAACACTGCTAAGAATGAGTTGACCTGGGTTCCACCTATGCTGGGGTCTATGAACTCAACATCACCTGATGATAGGACCAACTATATCACCAAGGTTCATTTATAACATCTTCCCTACAATAACTATATGGGGTGAAATGTAAACACTGACACTGCAGAGAAGCGATGTCTTTGACCAGGAAGAGGGCTTATTCAAATAAAAAGAACATTGACATCTGAAAGCCTGTCTTCTCAAGATTATACTATCAAGTATATCAAGTATAAGAAGTAGTATCAAGATTATACTGGCTGCTTTGCTCCTATCTCCCTAGTTCATGCACCTGGCCAACTCACACTCAAAGGACATCTGCGCAAATCACACACACCTTTAAAAATGAAGGAAACACTGCTATCCCCAAACCAGGTAATGAAAAGTACCTGGGCGGCTCATGTGGGAAGATCAAGGTCTCTCTGAACAATGTTCTTGACCCCACCTTGCACCAGAGCACCCCCCTAGCTCAACTTCATCTTCACCATGCAAGTCAGGAAATAAGGGCTCTGTCTGAAAATTAGACTTTTTGGCACCCCTCCCATTTGGAATGCTAACTAAAATGGTGTTTGTGGAAATCCAATATTATAATAGGAAACTATATTCCCACGTCATATGGAAAAATAAATACAAACAGAATAATCATAGCTATATAAAAGCAGATACGCTTATGAAATAACCAGATAGAAAAACAATGAAATTGGAAGCATAGCTGTTTTTTAATGGTAGGAAATGTTTTTCGTTGTCATATTTTTGAGATTTTCCCCCAAATGATCTAGTGAGAATGTAACCCATATATATAATGTCTACTCTGTTCAGCAGCATTGGTATGTCTGTAGCTATTCCCGTGAATGTGGACAGATTTGATGTTGTAACCTTGAGTTAATGGAAGTGAAGCACCTTTTTCAGTGCTTTCCTTTGTCTCGGGATCATAGAGCGCCTACCTGGAATCACTCACTTCACCATCGTCTTATCCTGCCCCACTTTCCACTTAACCATCCTGCTTCTGTTGGCCAAGACCACCATGTAGATGCCACTCTAACCTAGAGACCCGGTGACCTGCTCTGACTGGCCATCCTTAGCTTGCAGGTAGTGGGAGCCACATCTGTGTACCTGATGTTCACATCAGTGACTGCTGGGCTCCACGCTACAGACTCGTAGCAGGTGAGTGTCAACCCCAACCCCATCGATGACCCAGAGCGGAGGGGGGTGGTCAGGCTGAAGTTAAAATTGCCAGAAATATGGTAAAAACGTTTCTCAAGTGCACTAAATCAATGGTGTGTCAGGATGCCATTTTCTATGCGGCTTTGAAATTTGTGCAAAAATCAGATTCTCTTTTTCTCCCTAAAAAACTATGATCCCTTTTCCCCACCTCTGATCACTATATCTCCCTCACTCTCTACTCTCTACCTTCCTTGGTCAAGATTCCTGGGGGTGAGTAGTTAAGCAGAAGTCACAAACACCCCAGGATTAAGATTAGGGATCACAGGCACGTATGGCATTCTCCAGGCTCACTGGGAATCTCAACTGGCTTATAAGTGAATGTCCCCACGTCCCTGGCTCCAAGGTATATTTCTAGATATAAATGGTCACTGGTACCTTTTCACCCAATAAGCATCCACTAAGAACCTCCTCTGTACCAGGAAACCAGAACCTGGGGACACGGGATGGAAAAGGCATGGAACAAATGTATGAATTCAGTGTGTCATGGTGGCTATGCTAACTCAGACCAAATTGTAATTAGAACTCCTGTTGGTTCCTTTCCCAGCCCTTGTCTATCCATGTACTTTCTCCCAGCTCTTTGGCCACCACTCAAAATAAAAGGTGACTTGTGAAAACAATATGAGGAAAGGGATCCAAAAGAGAGTCCAGTAAACTGGCCCCACAATTTCCCGGTGTGGCCAGTAGATATAAACATAGCCACACAAGTCAGTTAGAGCTGTGTTCAGAACCTGTGTTGAAGGCTACCAACCATGAAAACTCAGATCTAAGTCTCAACACTCACAGAACTGGTATATGCACTCATGAATTGAGAAGGCTGATGCTTTTCAGGACACTTGGGCAGGTTAAATAAAATATCTATAGTGCTTCTCATATAACCCTTTAAAAATAAATCTCCCCTCTTCCTTCCACTGATTTGAAAGCTTAGGATTTTAATTGTCAGTATGGCCATTTTTTCCTACAGATGAGGCCAGATAATTTTTCCAACTTTTTCTATATGCATTTAATGTTCAACTAACAGACTAGAATGAGAATCTGATTTCTCTGCTCATTCTGGCTCTTTAGGCTGATACATAACCTCAAGACCCCACCATTTACTAGGAGCAATAAAATACAGAGTCTTTTCTGGGAAGTGTTACCGAGAAAACACATACAATCACATTGTCTAGCAGGAGTCTTTTTGCGACCTGTCAGCCTGCCTTAAACCCTCAGCTTTAGGAAAAGCTATTGATCTAATCTGTGCTAATGTTGGCATTAGTGGAGCCTAGCATTTTGCTGTTGATCTCGGGTAAGTCAAGGACTTTAATTTCACTCAGACACACAGGACTTGTGTCCTCGTATAGAAAAGGGGAAACTGCAAGCTACAGCCTCCCCATAGGAACCAAGAGCATGAATTTAAACCGTCTGTAGTCTTCAACAGAAAAGCCAGTTATTTTACAGAGAGTAATTTATTTGGAATCATTATTCTTCATAGTAATATAGCTCAGGATTTGGTGCTTTACCTGTTTTCAGCTTCAAGCTACTAATTTTAAAGATTTAAACCCTTTTTATTGATAATGAAGCACACGAGGCCGCCTCGATGGCCCTGCTGGAATACAGAAAGTGTTGTTACCCCAAAACAGAGAAGTTCCACCAAGGCTACAGCATCTGCCTTGTGCCAGATGCCCTACTTTTTTTTTTTCGCATCGGATCCACTCCTGCTCTGAGAACACGCACCCACATCAGAACCCTCCCCTGACAGCTTCCTCACGTTCTCTCCCCTCTGCCAGCCCATCTTTTTCTAGCATTCACTGGTTTTCCTTTAATTTCCCCAATTTACCCAATTCTTTCCTTCCCCAGACTCTTTGCAGCTTTTCTTCCTTCTGCCTAGGAGGCTCTTCTCTTAGACCTTCTTGTGCCTGGCTCCTTCTCATCCTTTGTCCTTTGTCATCTTAAATCTAAGCCACCTGCATGAGACAGTGGAGCCCCCAGGCCCCCAATGTACTCTTTTCACCCTACCTTCTTTCTCTCTGCACAAGGTTGATCACGACGTGAACTGCTCAGTTCTTTCCCTTAGAGGCTGAGTGGTTTTCTAATGTGTCCCTCACAGGACTGTAACATCCTTGGCTTTCGCTTCCTTTGTTTATCAAAGTCTCCACTGTGCCCAGGACGGTGCCTGACACATAAACTGTGCCTAAGGCGTATTTCTGTATTTAAGTATTTTTATTGGTAAGAACTTCTGTTATTTAATTGTGAAGGATTTCAGCAAAAAACACTAAGACATTATGTCTTGTCCTGCCTTGGAGAAGCTCACTTCCTCCTTATCTCCAGGGCATGAAGGTTTGGACCGATTATCAAAGTAAGGCTCTTGCTCTGGGGGCCACAGTGGTCACACTGGAGAGAGGGAGGCCTATGTAGGGAGGGACCTATATAGGGAGGGACATTCATGCTCACTTCATCATCTGTGCAGAATTTCAACTCCAAAGAGGCTGAATGTAATGACCTTGCTGTTAAAATTGCCTCCAAACCCAAATGCCTTAATAATGCAGTTAGCATTCATATATATTTTATAAAATATATACCCTGATCACAAGTACTGAGATCTGAGGATGTACATCTTGGGGAGTAATGACTGGGGTAGAGTCTGAAGTGGAGGAATAAAGGTATTCATTCATCATCTGGTCATTCAACAAGCCTTGGTATAATGTGCTCCGTACTTGTCACCAAGAGTACAAAGATTAATAAGACACATCCTCTATATTTGGAGAGCTCATCATTCAGCAGAAAAGACAGACAACTATAAACTATACAAAGAGACAGGAAAAATAGAGGTAGAGACTACTGAGGTACGGTGTGTTAGTAGACAGAAGCAGCCCAGTTTGGGGAGGCAGCGGTCAAACTTAAAGGGTAAGCGGGGGCTGGCCAGGTGAAAGAAAGTGATCAGAAAAGATTCTACCCAGCAACAGGCTTTCTCCTTTTGTGAGTCCCCCACAAGAGTGATAACCGGCGAATGTCAGCATCAGGGAATGATCAGTGTCTTGGACTTGATCATGCATCCCACAGGTGCACAGGTGAAAGTGGACCCTTACTGCCCAGTGTCAGCTCTTTCTTGAAACACAGCAAAAGAGGAGACGGCACAAACAGCCCTACTGAATCAATCTCCACCTGGACCGCACCTGAGTCTTGTGCCAGTGGTGTCCACTCCCAGAGGGAGGGGAAATTTGCAAAGCTTTTGAAAAGTGTGGATCTGGAAATATAAATAATAGAGGGGAGAAGAAGAATTGCTAGGGGAGGGGAGTGTGCAGGGGCAGCTAGAAACACAGAAAGGAAATCATTCCTGAAGGAAAGACTGAACGAAGGGGACTGCTGGTTCCTTGCGACGGCTGAGGACTCGCCTGCAGTCAGACGAACCAGAGTCTGACCAGTAGCTTCGTACTTGCTCAATGGCTTTGAATGGGTTTCTTAACTTTCCCATCATCTGTTTTATCAACTTACCATGGGCAGAGCTACCTACCCACTTCACATTGCTATTTCAATTAAGAATGTAAACGTGGGGCCTCTGCAGGCACTTAAGTCTTCTGATGTATTACTGTTTTATTGAAACGATGGGGCATATTCTCTATTACATCTTACAGTGGAATCACAGGTGCCGTTTTTATCAGGGACACAGGCTCTCTAATGGGAGTGGCAGCAGGCAGGCAGAGGCATCCCGGGCACTCACTTGATCTTGACAAACTTCCGACATGGCACAGTGTTCCTCACACACGTCTCGGTCAACGGGTCTATGTCCTCCACGATGACGAAAGGAGCTTCCTCCAAGGTGACAATGCTGAGATGGTTGTCGTCTGGCTCACAGTCCAAGAAGGACTTGTACCTTGGCCACACGGCGTGCCTCAGGCTTAGGGTCTGGTTCTCCCACTTGCCCACCTGCATCACAAACACAAAGACACACCTGTATTTTCTTGTACGACTGACTTCCAGAAGGTCAAGTCTTTCCCCACAGGAGGCACAGGAGAAGACACCAAGACACCGGGAGCGTTAAGGGCTCATTGGCTACCTGTCTCAATGCAAGCATCTACTTATGTGCTCAGAAAAATGAGGACAAAAAGCAAACCAGTCTATTGGGCAGCTGCCTATTCTGGCCCCTCCAGGGACTCATCATGCATGTATGTCTGGGAGTGACACACTGTACTTTTAGGGCTCCCGAGGTAGTTTGAATGCTCTTCCAGGCTCCAGGATCATGGATGTCACGGAAACAGCACAGACCTTTAGATCTCAGAGGTATGGGTTTAAGTGTGCACCTCTGCCACCTCCCAGCTGTACAACTTTTAAGCAAGCTCTTAAGTGTCAGAACTTCTGTCTTCTCATCTGGAACCCGGGCATGATTCCACCTGCATCCTACAGACATCATGGGATTAGATCAAGGTGGGGCACAAAAGCGGAAGCACCGTGTGGGATGCCATAGTGCAGATGCCATGCTTTCCCTTTAAGTACAGAAGAGAGAGAATGAAGAGGAGAAAGGTGAAAAGATGCCAAGAATTACAAAAAGAGGACAGGGAGAGAGGAAGGTGCAGAAGAACACACAGGAGAAGCTTGCAGGACAAGAGCCACAAAAGGGAGCAGAGCAGGTGGTGGGAGCATCATCTCAATCTCAGATGAGCCTCCTCTGAGGTTGCAGACTCAGGTGAACTTTTATTAATCCGTACAGAGTGGAGATTGTTACTGCTTAGCATACGTCAAAAGCTGTCAAGACAGAATTGATTGTACTCCTTCTGAGCAGCGCTCAGCATCTTAGTGAAATCAAATTGAAGGCTGTATGTTTTGAACCTTAATTCTATCTGACAGCTTATTGGCACTATTCACATCCACACTGGAGCGGGCTGCCCCTGCCTCCCACTTTCTCCTCCCTCCTCCTGCCCCCACACACGATTGCACGACACCATGGGTCAGCGCTTTATTTGCAATCCCAACATCAAGGAAAACACTTCATCTGAAAAGCTAAGTGCCAGGTGCAGGCTTGTCTGGGCCGGCGTGACCCACTCACCTCTCCTACTGCAACTCCAGTATCACCAGCAAGGAGTCTCAGACCCTTAAAGAGAATTCAAACTCGCTGAGCACCAGGAGGGAATGGGGGTGCGGAAGAGAAGAGAACCCCGGATGACAAAACTGCCTCATCACTTGCACTGGAAAATGTTCGCTGCCTATAAAGAAGCATCCAATGTGGCTAATAACACATTTTCAACCTTGGGTGACGGTGACGCCACACTTTTTAAGATAGAAGTCAGTAATTTGGTTAAACAATCATGCTTATCTACCCAGGCTGTGATGTGCAACACACAGGTGCAGGAGAATGTTGAGCCCGTCAAATTCTTCATTCATTCGACAGATTTACTGAACACCTACTATGTGCTTACACCAGTCTGGGAATGAGGAAGGACAAAGCAGGAACAACTCCCGCCTTCTAGGAGCTGAAGGACGAAGATCAAATGAATGTGCAATATGCAAACAGACAAAGGCTTACAAACTTTTCCCTTTGGAAGATGTTGCAGCTGCCCTGTGTCTTTCTGTTTATCACTGAAAATTCAAATGCATCCTTTAAAAGAGACTGAGTCATTGTGTGGCTGGGAGATTGGCTTTTGTGGTCAAGTAGAGCTAAATGTTTCTGCTGGCGTCACCCATTAGCTGAGCAGCCTCGGGAGGGTCGCTAACCCTCTCTGAGCTTCACTTTCTCCACTTCTGATGACTGCAGGGGGCAGGGGCTGCATGAGCTCAGTGTGTACAGAACTGATGGAGCACAAAACAGAGTGTGGCACAAAACATGCGTGGTGGCTGCTATTGTGGGCATTTCAGACGCAGCTTAAATATTACCTAACCCATAGTCGTTCTTGCTTTGCCTAGTAATCTACAATTCCGTACCTATCTCCATCATACCATTTTGACACTATAATTGTAACAATGTCACTATTGAATATCGGAAATGTGCCAATACCACTGACTAACCTACCACGCCCACACACACACACACCAAATCCCACATGGTAAGTATTATTATAATCTTAATTTCCCTGTTCAGGGCAAGGAAGCACAGAGAGATTACATGACTTGTTCCACCTCACACAACAAGAAAGCGGTGGAACCAGGGTTATGCTCTGCAGCTATCTGGATCCAAAGGCATTTTCCCACTAAGTACACAGTGCTTCTCACTGGGCCATGGTACCATGCTACAGCCCAAGGCCCTTCCTTCCTTGCAGATATGGCTCCGAATGTAGCAAAGCAGTGAAAGTTTAGGCAAAGATGTTGTACAAGGCAGAATCTTCAGTGGTTACTTGACCACATTACAAACCCACCACCACGGCAAAAGTTGCAGCTCCAGGCCAACTTATGGGGAGAGAGAGGTTGCCAAGGCTCCTGAGCCCCCGAGTGCAGTAACTGTAAATCCTTCCAGCCCCGCTCACCTTCCTGGAATATCCAAGCCAGTACTCTTTGGAGGCCAAGGAAGATGGAAAAGCAGGTGGCAGGGGCACAGCACTTGGTCAGGAAATAAAGCATCTCCCTAGACCCCAAGATCTCTTTCTTTCTCAGTCCAACTGGTTCCTCAGTGCCCTTTCCAATATCAAAAACCCAACTACACACATTTATGTCTCAGATAAAAGAGAACAGATGTTCTGCACTTTCCCCCTCTAAATCCACAGTGACCAAGCACAGTAACCAAATCCAGTGTTTGTAGACATGGTTAGCAAAGGTTCCGTCAGTCCGTAAGTACTGACTGAGTGGCTACTGGGTGCCAAACACTGCAAGACACAAAGGACACTGTACTGTAAACAGCAAAGCTTTTGCTTGCATCGAATTTTATGCTAATTAGAATGACGTAAGCCTACCACACTAAGCTATGAGCGTTAGGTACTGTGGCATCCTGAAAAAGACACCAAGATGGAAAAGAAAGGGGAAATTAGATGAAAACCTAGAGAATCTCAATAAAGCAGAGCCAGTAGGTAATAATCATGCATTAAGTGGTTCATTAATTGTGACAAATACACTATATAATATCAGATGTTAATAATCAGAGAAACTGGGTGTGAAGTGAGGCCTTGCTGTACTATATCTGTGATCGCCTATATATAGAAAACTATTCTAAATTAAATAAATCTATTCTCAGCAGATATAGTGACCAACAACATGATCTCTGGATCCACCCATTCTACCTCCAAATCCTAACTGATCACTTACCAGTTGTTACATTTAAATAAATTGTTTAATGTCTCTTTTGACTCAGTTTCATTCTCTAAACAATGGGATGATGGACTGGATAAAGATGTGGTTTTTTCTTTCTATAAAATGGAGTACTGCTCAGCCATAAAGAATGAGAAACTAGAAACATTTATAGCTAAATGGATGTACATTGAGGCTATACTCTTCAGTGAAATAAATAGGACACATTTGAGTAAACACTGAATATTTTCTCTGGTGTGCAAAGTAAAAGTATAAATAAGGTTCAAATGGTATAACTGAGTGTGAAATATTAAGAAAATGGCTAAAGGGGAAGTGGGAAAGGGAGGGGAAAGGAAATAAGGGAAAAGAAAAAAATGTGAAAAAGGGAAAAAATGGAAACAAAGTCTTTGTAAATAGGGAAGGGTGAAGGGGGTGAAGGGAGGGCAGGGGAATGGGGAAAAATAAGAATCAAGATATATCACGTAAAGGTACAAGATCCCAAAGATGAATGTAACTGTACTGCTTACTTAAAAAGTACCAATAAACGCAATGAGAAAAAAAAACTTAATAGAAAAAACAAACAAACAATGGGATGATGATAATGGTGTAACTCACTGGATTGCGGCGAAGACTGAATGACCAGATTGGTTACTTTATGTAAAACATACAGAGGAATTGCTCCCCAGTGGCTGTGCTGTTATTTTGTCATTAATCAAATCTAGAGGGGAATGCAGACTTTGAAAGGGAGTTCATGTCATCTCCTGTTTTAACTCCATGAAAGCATCAACTGGATTCTAGGGTTTTGATGTCTTCCCTGCCCATCATCCATTTCCTACGTAACATTTTGGCTTGTTTCTGTATGTTTATTTTGTTTTGCTTTATTTGGGTACAGTGTATTGATTTGCCCTTGGAGAGATGCCCATGTCCGATTTCAAGACTAGGCACATGCCCTTTTTTGGGAAATCAGTTCGCTAAGATCCCCTAGCCACCGTGATTGGCCCAGGAAAGTGTGTGAGAACTGCTACGAGCCAATAGTCTTCCCGGGAAGCTTTTGCTGGGATTGTTAGGATACAGACATCATAGTAGAACAACTTGTCTGAGAATGAACACAGAGCTAAGGAATCGACAGATGACAGCAATGGAGTGATGGCCCTGCTTGAGCTTGTCTGTAATAATACAAACAAGTTGGCTGAACCCTTACAATGTATTAGGCATCATTCTTAGATCTATTTTGATCCAGATAAACTCCTACACATAACAGAAAGTTATGAAGTTATGGACAGATTGTTTCTATCTCCATCATTTTTGGGGGGGTATTCAAAGCAGTCCTCAATCACCCAAAAGGCTATGCAGAAGAAGGGGAATTTTTCACTTTCCAAATAAACTGAATTTTGGTGATAAACCTTTGTATGTTTTCAGCAAATATATTGAAGTTTTGAGGACAAAGAAAAATAATTAACCTCTGATGGAGGAAAGTGATTTTGTCAAGAGAAATATAAAAAGGGGAAATTAACTTTGTAATGATTTTTTTAAACCCATTCTTGTTAGTAAAATTTAAATACAGTGCTATTAGGAAGTTAACTGCTGTTTGGTTCCTAGAGAGTATTTTGTGAATGGGCAGCGACTGCTTATTGAAACACTCAGCCAATATTTCCTCCAAGTGGAAATAATTGCATGTCTAGAAACTGTATGCCTCAAGTTAGCATCTCCCCATGCATTTCTGGATAGCTTTAGAGAGGTGTTACAGTGACTTGCTGGAAGAAATTAGGTTGAGTAGACAGCTCTTCTTTCAAAGGTATATGAGTGTTTGATCTTATTTGATCTATTTATGAAATGCTTATAGGAGACAATTAAAATAACCCCATAACCAGTCTTCCGATATCCAGAGCCATCCCCTAAAAGCATCCATCTAAACAAGAACACCATGATCTATCCCTGCTCCAGTTTTCTCGTGACACCTGCTGCCTACAAAGACAAATGCCTTTACTCTGAAGTGTCCTCTGTACTACAGGCCTGATCGACCCCCTTCTCTCTTCTCACTTCCTCTACCTTTCTCACAATCTCATAATACTCTCACACTAAAACACACAGATATGTGTACCCCCCACATGCACACACTTGTACCTACGCACGCCGTTAGACATGCACATATCTACAGAAATCCATGCACCTATACGTGAATGTATCACAGATGTACACACTCAGGCTCCCCAGTAGACACTTAAACCCTCCACACGCACTGCACATCCTCACATATATATAACACAGATACACTAACACCTCCCACACACACGCACACACATGCACACATGCACACACACACACACACACACACACACAGACCCAGACACAATAATGATGTACATGTACAGTTTTCACCAGACATGCCCTACATAGCACCCACTTCCCTCACCCTGCCTACACTGCTTCTAAATACTAGGTAAGGAGAGAGCTTCCTACTCTGACAGGGAACCAGAAGATACTCTCTAGAAGGAGTGAGTCTGAATATGGCACAGACCAGGAGAGTTCCTCTGTATCCTGTTAAGGGATTACTTCTAGCCCCTGGAAGACTGAAGGGCGTAGGAACCTGGTGATGGGGACTTAGTAAAGATTTTTAATCAAGAGAGTCACTCCCCCTGATTGGAATAAGTATATCAGGATACCCTAAAGGGATGTGGCTAAAAGATTCTAGGTGCAGAGCGATAGATTAGGAAGCAAATGCATAAAACTGAAGACAGAGGGCCACAGAGGTAAGACTGGTGTGAATTCGTTGGATCTCAAAGTGAGAAAATCAGAGAGGAACAGTTGCATAGGGGCGGAGGGGAGGGCCCAGTCAGCCTTGTATTACAGTTCCAAGCACTATCCTGCTGGCCAGACGTCCACAGCCATGTGAGCCAAACGGGATGTGGCATAGTACTCACCCATCAAAAACTCAATAATTACTCACTGAATTGAACTCACTCTGACCACAGCATATCACCATTTTCTCCTCAGACACAAGACAATGGGGAATCACAAAATTAAAAGTCAAGAGGAAATTTATTAAAACTGGAAATGGGAGCAGAGTTCACATTGCCTGCACGCCCGTCTGACAGGGCCCGGTTACCTCATAGGGTGATTTCATCTCCAAAGGTGAAAAGGCTTCAAAACAGAACTTTACAAAACATTAGAGAACATTTCACTCCAGATAATAAGCGGCAATTTACATTCAAGTTGGAGAAAATACGCATAATTAACCCTTCCGGAAGATGAAGTTAAGGAGGACAAACGAAGCAAACAGAAGGCCACTTTCTCACCACCTGAAATATAAAGTCTTCCAAAGGACAGGGGATAAACGGCTGTGAAGGAAATGTGAAACGGTTTAACATCCGTATTTAGCGGAAGTAGCGCCATCATTAGCAGCACTTCCATGCCTGAGCATGCGCATCTGACACACCAACGAGCTGGTGGCGGGTCTACGCACAGGTAATCCAGTGTCTCGGATTGTCACTGGAAACGAGAAGCACATGTGAGTGTGACTAATCTGGAAAGTACAATGACGATGTCAGAGCCGCTGCTGTGGCTGGGTATGAAGTTGCAGTGTGCCCTATCTGCGGTTCTTCGTAGTGGAGCTTGGTTAATTTTTCAATCAATATCTGGTTTCAAGTTCACCTGTGATCACTGTGTTGAAACCAAGTGTCACTTTAGAAGTTCATTTCTCTGTGCACAGTATATGCAAACAAGCTTCTACAGAGAAATCACTCAAGCAGCTGTGGACTGAACCTACTTGGTCTTCAGCGCTGAGGGGCCTACATGATCACTGGCAGGGGAAAATTCAGATTTGTTTTGGAGAGACTTCAGCAAAGTATGGGCTTCCTTTGAATGTACTGTTTTAAATGCAGTGAATGAAGGTGATGGGATTATAAAACTTGAATCTAGATAGGAGCTGATGGAGAATGCAAAGTCCTAGCCAGGCTTGGTGGCGACCTATAATCCTAGTCCGGAGGCAGACGCAGGAAGATCATGGGTTCAAGACCAGCCTGGGCTATACAGTTGAGACCCTAATCTCAAAAAGCTCTGGGCCTCTGGAGTGTAGATCTGAGGGTCTGGAATGGGGTTTTCACCCAGTATCCTCAGTCACTGTGCTCTGGGTGGTCTAAGGACCCTATTTGGGGAAGCAACAGGAGAATGATGCTTCTGGCTATGGGCAGGATTAAATGCAGCCTACAAAAGAGATGGAAATCTTCCTTCCTGGGTTACTTACGTAACCAGTGGCAATTGCCAGCAGACCTAAATGAGTTTAATCAGCTATTAGAGCCTTAATTAAATTCCTCTCAGTTGAAATTTCAGAATTGCCTAATTGTTACACAGCTCACATTGGAGCAGTTGATTTTTTTCTCCTATAATAACTACTCTCACGATAACCTAATATCTTTATGGATAACAGTGTCAATTGTCTTAGAATCCAGCACTGATCTAGTCATTCGTGGAGACGTGTTTTGATCTTTATTGTTCCAAGAACAACCTGCACATTTCTATCCATTCTTCTCTTGATGCTCAGCCAACAGAGAGCTCAATGCTAATTCAAATTTAAAATTTAAATGTAGAAGTGCACTTCTTTGGAATGGGAGCCACCGTTTTCTTCCAGAGTTCCTTTATTGTCTCTAGTCTTCCCAAGTTCCCAGGTCCCCAGGGATGGGTAGAGGTCCTATTTCTTGGTTTACTTTAATTCTTTGTATGTTCTTAAAAGCAATGTGTTCTGTTAATTAGCTAAGCAGTTAATAGTGTTTTCTTTCTTGTCTTAGATTCCACAATGGAATAAAGTAACATCAGAGACTTGAAAAAATTAGCAAAAAATAAAAAGGAGCTCTCTCCTAATCACTAATTAATTTTTTTGACCATGCTCCTGGGAGTCCTTCATTGTGTAACTTCTGGATCTCCATGGCCTGTAATAATATTTATTGAATAATTAATAAATATAGTCACTAGCATTTATTGAGGTACTGCAATCACTCCAAGAAACATTTTCTCATTTCTTCCTCACAATCCTATAATGAAAAAGGCAACTGCTGTCCTCATTTTACAGACTGAGAACTTAAACAACTTGCTCAAGATCAAATGGCAAATGAGAGGACTCGGAACCTGATCTCAGGACAGCAAACTTCAGGGCATGGGATCATGACCACTACTGGTTAGTGCCAAGGTTGACATCATATTTGCTTGGGAAACATCAAGGTAAATAAAAGCAACATGTGTTTGTTGAAGGGATTTCCCATGGGAAGCAGATAATTAGTACCCTGCAATGCACAAAGTGTTTTTCCGGGAGCTGGAACACCGGGTTCTGGCTCCCAACCTCCATAGCCTTGCTTTGTCCTTTGGGGATAAAGTTTAGTTTAGTTTAGTTTTGTTTTCCCTTGTGAAGTACAGAAGGAGGAGAGAGCAGCCAGAGGTGGTCTTACAGTTTGCTTTCACGTGAAGCAGTTTTATTTCCTTCATTTGCCTATGAGCTCATTCTTCTAAGGACTTGGATTCCACCATGGAAAATGACTAACTGCAGAGCTGTTTGTAAGCCCTGTCTTGAAGGCTTGAGATTGAATTCCACTGTTACCAACAGAGACATCTAAAATCCAATTAGAATACTAGATGGGGAAAAAAACACAACTGCTTTAAAGTGACAATTAGGTAATTTGGGGATTTCAACCAAGAGGAATTAACTAAATCTTTAAAAACTGATTGGAGGGCTGGGGATTTAGCTCAGCGGTTTGGTGGCCTGCCTTGCAAGCGCAAGGACCCAAGTTCAATCCCCGGTACAAAAAAAAAGAAAAACTGATTAGATATCTTTGCCTCCATTGTGGTCTCCCTCCATTACATACGGGGTCTTAGGAGGAAGGATTCTCTTTCCCCTGTATCATGTTGTACTCGAGATGCTGACTATCAAGATGACACAATTCTGTCTACCTTGATGCATCTGTTATTATCAGCACCGAACATGAATTTCACTGAATCCCTTAAAGGGCTACTTCAGTGAGGAAAGAAAGCAGAATGCAGATCAGTCTACAAAAGTAGTTCTGGAGGGGGCATGAAGAGAAATGGAATCAGGGTGGGGTGCCCGGGCAGCAATACAGAGTGAGAACTTTGACCTGAGCTGAGTCCTCTGTTACAATAACACTGATAACTCTTATTACTTTTTAACACCTTCACAAAGACCATTTAGAAATATGGTAAAGGTTTTCCTTTGACCTTCTAATGTGCTTTTTTCTGGGTAAATTTCAAAGATTGGTGTAGCTTGCAATTGTAAAATAAGTGAAATGCCATTTGCAATCTGGAAGAGTAAATAGCTCTTTGGGGGAGTATTTACCTGGACAGCATTTAGCAGTCTGTTCCCCTGTTGCCAGAGTTAGAAATTGGTCAAGAGAGGCATGCTGTGACCCTGCAATGATAGCTGAGAGGGGCTGACCCTTTTTTCTGATAATTAATTTATTCTAACCAACCTGAAAATGAGAAGGCTGGACATGACAGTGGACATGACTCTTCTTATTCTTTGGCAACTATTTTAAAAGGATTAAGTCTTATAGTGTGGTAAAACTTTTGTCTAAGTGAGTAATCATTTGTAAGAAGACTTACATTCCGGGTAATCAAATTGCTGACTAAGGAAGCAGGAGGCTTCTGTGCATCAAACCCGACTTGAGGGTGTAGCGGGCCAGGAGAAGATGGATTTCCTCCCTCAGCATTAGGTAGAAGAGTCAGTTCCATTTGGATCTCAGCCCTGAGCATTCAAAGTTAACCTCAGTCACCGTGTCTGCAGAGTTTTAAAATAAGGTTATAGAACCTGGGGGTATCAATCAGTTGAAAAGCATTTCATCCTCTTGCCTGTGAAAAGTTATTGGGTTGTGAAAGTGGAAACATTTGGAACTCAGTGGCAGACCTCTGGTGGGCATTTGTGTTCCTATGTCTGGGTCAAAATAATAAATGTAAAACTTTGAGATAGGCATTTTCCTCCTTCCAAATGAAAGGGTGAGCCAGGGGTTGGTGCCTAAGGCCTGCTAGTTATTACAGGGGTGCTGACGGAGGCCCTCGTCCACGGTGAACACCATCACAATGATGAAACGTACATGGATCAGAATTTCAGTTCGCCTTGGATAAGATGCTATTCTGATGGTCATTTTTCCTTGCTCAGCACTGGCCCCAAACTACTTTGCTGTAGGCTTGTCTAAGCCCTAAAGTATTCCAGCAAGATGATCCTTTGAAATACTAAAGCCAACAGAAGATTTAATGGTGAGGAAACTATAGTAAGCTTAACGACAGCTTTACCCACTGTTAAAATCATGCCTTCTGGAAAGCAGTGGGGAAGAGAGGGATTCCCTTAGGATTGGCCAGATAAGAGGTACTCGTTCAGAAAACAGAGACTGAGTAACCCTTGACTGTCAGTCCCATTTCACCCAAACCAATTACCCTCATCTCAGACATGAATCAACAATTCTAGAACCCTGGGAAGCTACCAAGGGGAATTGAGACTCAAGGTAGCTATCCAGGCAGCCATCAGTATTGTGTTTCCTGCTGAATTATGCTGGTGAACTCTGAAGATGAGAAAAACCCTACACTCAGAGTCAGAGGACCCAAATTCAAGTTCATTTATCTGTGATACCGGGAGCTAGGTTACCTTAGTCAACACTTCAGATTTGTACTAGTTGGTTACTCTGAACGTTACAACCAGTGCAGCTCAGTGCAAAGTCCCTAGGTTCCACCCCTAGTACTGAATGGAAAAAGAGGAGGAAGAGGAAGAGCTGTTGTTGAGCTTAAAAACATGTTTGTGAGCCAGGCAATGACCAAACGGGATATGCCACACAGTCTACAAAGAGGGAGAGAGAAAAAGAGCAATAAAGAGAGACACTGGGGCAACATTACAGGAGCTTTGGGATGGCTGGGTAAAATGCCTACATGCAGCTCGGTATTTGATGGCATCTGTGTTCAAATTTGCAACTGGCCTTGGTGTCCTTTAGTGTGTGGCTCGGTACCTGGGGATAATACTGGTAAATTTATCTATGTGTGGCTGCTGACTGTCATTTCCCACATATCCTGAACTTGTCCCATTTGCCAATAACTGATGTCACTTCCTTCATGAAGACATTCATACTTCTCAGACCATTTGGTTAAAAGTAGAGGTCAGTTTTTTACTGTCTCTCCATTGACCTCACGGAGTTAGTGTGAGCCGTGCATTCCTTCAGAGATCATTTAGAGCTGCCCAATTTCAGTGATTCTAAATGCATAAAATCCAGTCTTACTTAGTTTTCCTCGAGTCTCCTCCAATATCATTTTGGCCCTGGGTCTTGGACCCTCAATTTTCTCCCAACCTGCTCATTCATGCTCTACATCTTGCCCACTCCAACTGAGGCCTCTTAATGGATCACATGAACAGATTTTTTCCTACCCACAAATATCCTGTCCTCATGTTGTCCTCCTGTCACACCCACCGGCACTGCCACCCCCAGCTCTGAGTCAACCCAACCACTTCCTCACCTGTAAAGCACCAAGCACAGGTGGAGAATATCACCTAGCCACATAGCCACATAGATGAATGTCACTGTAAGTTTAAGGGCTCCCTCTCTAGCTAGAAATCATTCTCTCTCTTACTAATTGCATCTCCCTCGTTCCCTAGAAACTATTTCAAACCTTCGCACCTGCCCACAAGACTGCGGGGCTGTCAGCACCATCCTCACTCCCAGCTGACAGATCCGTCTCTTATTTCAGAGTATGTGGACAACCCACATAACCCACAGACTCACCTGCCCCTGCACACAAGTCCTCCGCTCCTCCATGATAAGAGGGGGATCTCTTCCTTAGACTAGTGCTCATCCCTCCTTCAAGCTCTGGACAACCTGTTCTATATTCCGCTCTCTTCTGAAGCCAGCCCCAGAAAGATCCCTGGGGCTTTCTCTTCCCGAAGGCCAACAGGTGCCTTGCGCATATGCCCCCACGTACCTGGCACTGGAAGCCAGGCCCACCCTCCCTGAGTGCCTTCCCTGGGCTCTCGTCATCCTACCCCCACCCAGCTATTTGCCCCTTGGCTGAGACAAGCTCCTCTTTCTCTGAGGATGTCTTCCATGCCTCTATTTCCCTCCTACCCTCAGAAGTCCATGCTTGGGCCTCTTCTGCCCCCTCGCCTCCTTGACTTGGTTGACAGCACCAGGATCTGACTGCCCTTCACCAACCTCTCTCTGCTGTCTCCAAGAAACCTCCATCTCCATAGGCTTAGAATAGAATTCAGCCTCTTACCTTCAATCACAAAAACACAAACTTTAAAACCACACATTTTCTCTCCCATCTGTCAAATAAAAGTTCTTCAGATCCCAATGCTGGAAATATTCCTTAATGCATCTCTCTCTCCACATATATATAAAACATACATATGTACCGCAGATATATAACACATATAATTGATCCCAGGCCTTGATAGTTCTCATACAATATTTGAAGATTTCTCACTGTTCATTTCTCTCCTGCCTCATACCATAGTATGGGCTCTCCATTCTCAGGAGTCTCTGCAGCAGGTTCTCAACAGGTCTTCTTGCTTCCAGGTTGTTTTTCTCTTCAGCCACCTTTCAAATAGCAGCTAAGGCATCACTCTAAACATCTCTGCTATCCGATCATTCCAGGGCCAGGCTTAAAGCTTTGTGATGGTTTCGCGGTACAGTTGAATAAGGTGAATATGCCCCGGCCCCTTGCCAGCCTTTCTGGCTCTCTGCAGACACACCAGTCCCACTGCTGACAGCCAGCTTCTGATCCCACCCTGCCCCACATCGATTCATGAATCACACACAAGAAATCACAGGATGCTGGGTACATCAAGCTTCCCTCTCAGTGCCAGGGTTTCAAAACATGCTGTTCACCTGCCCAAAAAATCCCATCCCACTCTGCCAGGCACCCTTCTATCTGTCCTTCAGAACCCAACACAGAGGGCAGTCTCTGGGAAGCAGTCTCTGGCCCCACAAAGTGGGGTCTTTGATTACCCCACCAAGTAATGTAGGTACCCAGGTACTGGTCTGTCTGCCCAGCAGGGCATGGGGTGCAGAAACTGGGTTCTGTTTGCCTGCGTAGCCCTTGTATCCAGCCCAAGCCTCTAAATGTTTCTTAAATAAATAGTTAACAAATGAATGCACTAATAGGTCCACCATAACTATGATCTCTTTGAAGTCCATGATCAACATTAATTGTTCCCTTCTAATAACAGGTTCTGAAAATAATATGGATATTTGGAGACAGCTGAACTTGAGCCTGAATCTCCAGCTCCAGTGCTGACCAGCTGTGTGGCTCTGACTAGTTTACCACCCCCCAAACCCCAGCTTCCTCATCTGTAAAATGGGCATAAGAGGTGTCATCACATGATTCTTGGAAGGAATTAAAGTAGTGACTGCAAAGCACTTATTATACCATCTACCATACAATCAGTTATTGTCTAGCCCATATGAAGTGTTTTATTATATACAGGGAGGATTCTATTGATTCAGGTGAGTGAACCACCCAGAAAGATCATAAGCATTCAGCTGAGGTTCCTTCCTACCCACAATGCCTCACAAGGTCAAGGTGAACTCCTGAGTGTAACTCCAGGCCAAGGCAGAGCAAGGCATCGGTTTATCAGAATTCCAGGTGCAGGGATTGTCTACCAAAATGACACTTAGGAAATGCATTTTATTTTTCCCTTTAGGAAGAGACAGATCTGCTTTTCGCTTACTGCTCTCTTATTTTAGATGGAATTGATAGTGCCTATTAATATAATTCTGCGCACAAAGAAGAAGGTCTTGCCAAAAGCAGCCTGGCAGTATTTTAGTTCTACCAATAAATCCAAAAGCCTGGAAATTATTTTTATTTTCATTTGCTAGTTTAAGGTTCTGCACAATTAATGGATACCATTAATTTCATAACTATAAATGAAGCCCAAGTGTTCTTGGATCTTTATGCAGTCTTGCTACTGTTCAGTTGACTAAGAAGCTATTTGGAAAAAGATGAAAAGAAATAGAGAAAAAGAAATTTCAGATAACAGACACAGTGGAGGAATCATGCTGATCATATGTCATTATGTGGGTAATAATATAAAAGTCCTAGAGTTTATAAAGCCCTTTCTGGGCTACAAGTTGCTACTTATTACCTCGTTTCATTTGACCTTCATGGCAAAATCACATAAGGGTGAAGGAAAAATTATTACAATTTCTCAGAGCAATAAACCGATGTTCATTCAGGTAACTTGGCCCAGAAGATACAGCAATAGGGGAAGAGTCAGAAGCATCTCATTCTGCAGGACACAAAGCAAAAACAAATGGGTAGCAGTGCTTATCTTTAGGCTTTAAATCCACTCCTCTGAGAAAAACTGAATGCTGTAGGTAGGTGTGGAGAAAGTCGCTAAGAAAGATAAAGAAAAAAGCCCAGTAATAATTGTCATTTAAAACTTTAGATTGCACTTTGCACGCACTATAATGACAATGTACTAAGCCTTTTCTATTAGGTCTCATCTGTACTGGATTTTAACCTAAATGATGTACAATCCCTACAAACTATGAAGCGGCTGGGTGATCATGTTTCAATTAATTCCTGACTGTGGTTCTCACTTCTCTCATCTGTAAAATAGAACTGATTATGATGTATGCTGATTCGGATTGCAGTGAACAATAAAGGTGTTAGTTGACATAATGTGCTTGGCTCAGGGCCTGGAATGGAGCCAGAGCTTAAAAATGTTAGGCATTTTTTGTTTGTTTTTATCATTAAGAATTATACAGAAAGACCAAACTCTATGCTTTTCTCGTTTTAAATCTTTGCTTCTCAAAGCACTGCTGCAGGTGCCTAAGCTGTAGAATTGACTGAGAAAGGACTGAGAATTTTAAGGACAAAGAAAACATGGGCTTTAGAGTCCAACATGGTTGGAAATGTATTTTGGATTATTGAAAATTACTTGTGCTCTGTGACTTAGTTTTCTCATTTACAAAATGGCAGTCATCTATGAATTAAGAAGCATTGTACATCAAAGTTCTGACTTAAGGAATTGTTACCAACTTTCTGACCCAAAACTGTATTCATGTGTTTTCTTCAGGGTGTGGATGGAGATTTTCTTTTTTAGGAATCTGAGCACTCACTCTTTCTGCTTCTTTTATGGCTCTTTTCAGTCTGGTCACTATCACGGAATTTGTCAACTGTCATGGCCGACAGGGTTACCTGTGTGTCTGTCATTTAGCATGCAGATGGGAAGAGAGGATCATAATGAAGTTAGAGATTGTCTAGAAGTCACTCTGACAGCCATCCTAGATCCAAGCAGTTTTGGCCAGGGACCTCTGTCCTTTAGGCATTCTATCCTCAAAAATTAAGCGTGGTTAGAACAAGCACAAATTCAAATAAGTTAAATGGACAGCACAAGAAGCATGTAATGCATGATTGCTTTACTGTAAATTCCATGGGGTGGTTATCATTAGTTCCATCAACTTCATGATGGATACACTGGTGGTTGTCCAAGAAACACAAAGAATCACACTTTCAGGGTTAGCCTAGTCTCAAACTAAGTGTGACCCATGGCTAAACTTAACCAAGTGGATGTTGACCAAAACTTCCCCTCCTCAAAATGACTCCATTGCTGACTATCAGCATGAGGGATGAGGAGAAGGCTAGAACACACCCATCTCTGCTGACCCCTGTGCCATCCTCTCTGTCTGCACAGACCAGCCACTGATCTCTTGACGCTGGTTCGGGATTCACAGCTCTGGATTAGACACATCCTTGACTCCAACCTCTCTCGCCCAGTGACTGATAATATAACTTGTTGGAAATCCCATCCACATTTTTTAATCCTCATGCATTTTAATGCAGTGACAATTCCTGAATGCAAGTCCTTGTGTGTCATTTTGGCCACATGACTCCAACCTTACTGTGTAGATTCAAGTTGCCCACTTAAACACCACAGATGGAGAGAGATGTGGACAGTTTCCACAAAGGAACTTGGAACCAATTTCGCTGCTCTGAGTCTGTGTCCTCATCTATTAAACAGCCCTGCTTTCTCTACTGAAAGATGATTGTCAGGATCTGACAGCCAAAACTGATTCTTGCCCTTCTTTTCCACCTTAGATCTGACTGCCTATTCTTCAAAGAAACTTTAATCACGGGAAGAAAAAGAAATACACCATCGGCTATCCTCTGCTGTCCAACAGAGGCCAGAATGGTGGGACTCTAATACTGAGATAATTTGTTTCAACTTTAAAGTTAAAGAAAACAAAAACACTAATAACTGTCATTTAAAACTCAGTTTGTTTCAACTTTACTGTAGAACACAACATAAGAGAGAGACCCGTCAGTTTCTTCAAATTATTCTACAATTCCCTCCAAAGGAAAAAGACATGGCTCACATGTCTTTTCCTAACTTTCAGTTTTTTCTTCTCATGTGTTCCCAATGGAGTCCTTTTCCCATGGAGAAAACTCAAGGTGGTTCAGCCTGGATAGCAGACCGTGGGTTGGAGTAACAAGCAAGGAGGAAGTTTCCTGCAGGGTAGGGACTGATTCACACCTTCGGATTTGCAGAGGAATGGAATGCTTATTGGCATTGTTCAAGGATGCCACGCCAGAGACTGATTAAGGGGCAGATTTGCATACAGCTCAGTGGGGTACTCAAAGCTGAACTCAGGAAGAGACTCTGGTTCAGTGGGGAATCTTGTACCCATAATAGTTCTTGCAAACACTGGTGCAGGTCTACAGTGCAGGGATGAGGAACTCCCAACCTGGGCTTCCATAATTAAAGCACTGACAACCTTCACTATTAATATGCAAAGAAATCCCCTTTCTACCATATGATGTCATAGAGACAAATGGACTTTGGAGTCAGATAGACGTGAGCTGGAATCTGGATGTGGTCACTTATTCATTCTATAATCTCAAGCATATCACTAATCCTTGCAGGACCTCAGTTTCCTCCTACGTAACTGGGGGTGTATGAAAGGGGAAATAACTGTTTATCTTGAATATCTATTAAAGGGGATTAATGAAATAAAAATAAAATCCCATTACATAACCAGGCATAATAATTGTCCTGTTTTATAAAATATGGGGAATTACCTCAAGGTACCAGGTAGCCAAGTCCCTCGACTTTGGAGTCTAAAAATAGCATATTTAAACTGGGCATGGTGGTGCAAGCCTGTAATCCCAGCACTTGAGAGGCTGAGGCAGGAGGATCTCTGTGAATTCAAGACCAACCTGGGCTACATAGTGAGTTCCAGGTCAGCCTCAACTACATAGTAAGACCCTGTCTCAGAAAAACAAAACAACAAAAAAAGTGTATTTAGTCTTCCACAGCTTAGAAGTCAGCACTAGCATATTCAACCCCTCTACATCTGCCTTTCCCACTGGTCTAAGCCAGGCTCTGATGCCAAGAAAAACAGGGTAGTCAGGAGGGCAGCTAACGCGGCCAAAGCACAAATAAGAAAACACAACTGTAGCTACAGAAGATATCCAACACTGCTACTTGCAGCCAGAAGCAGATTGCTGGGGTGGAGAATCTCACTGTTCTGCTTCTTTTCTCAGGGACAAATGTCCTTCCTGTCTGTACCACTAGCATCCAAATGGGAAAATAAAAGCAGTGGACGGAGACAAAGATAAGAACGTGGAGAGCAGGTCCAGACAGCTAACAGTGAGGTCTGGGGGTTTGTGACTGTGGTGGGGAAGCAATCCACTCGCTGCTCTCCACCTGAGCTGCCAGGGGCAGAAAATCGACAAGGGATCTTCCGCAGTTGTGAGTGAATTAGTCATATGACTTAGAGGACCCCCATCCTTTGGATCTCTCCTTTGACCTTTAGGACTCGAGACGTATGTTAACAATGTAGGAAGCCTTCCTCATCACCTCCCCAACACCCAGACTGAGATCAGTGTCCCATGGTGTCCTTTACTGTGAGCATTCATCTTACTGCGTTATAACTGACAGGTCCTTTCTCTGTAGCTCCCACTAGACGGTGAGTTCTCTGAGGGGAAGGACACTGATTACTGATCTCTTCTGCACCTGCACCTACTGCAGGACTGAAAAAGGGTAACTGATCAGTAAACGTTTGGTAAACAGACCAGCAGTAGAGAGTGTAGTCTGGAGTGAAGAAATGACCACATGGATGGATGGGTACTGGTTGATCAAAAGGGTGAATAGATGGGTAATTTATTGGATGATTGCTCATTGGTTGCCTGGCTGGGTGGATGGGTGGATGGATGGTTAAAGGAAGGAACATGTAGTGTAATCTCATCAACAGTTGTTTCCAGTTACATTGTCCTAAAGAGTCAGAGTTGAAAATAAGGGAAAAGAAAAAAAAAAAAAACAGGAGAAAATAAAAAAATGGAAATAAAGTATTTGTAAATATTGAAGGAAAGAGGAGGGTGAAGGGAGGGCAGGGATAAGGGGAAAAAATGAGAACCAAGACCTGTCGTGTGACAGTACAAGATCCCAATGATGAATGTAACTGTACTGTAAACCTAAAATGTACCGATAAACTCAATGAGAAAAAAAAGAGTCACAGTTGAGTCCAATTAAAAGATTAGGTATTTCCATGCCTCCTCTCCACTCAACTTGAAATGCAACACTGTCCATAAAAATCAGTACTGTAAGAAAATGTCTGTCATTCATCCTGGAAACTGTGCCAAGTAATGGGAAGAGCACCAGAACGGGGACAAGTAAGACCTAAATTCGAATCTCTTAGTAATTGATAGGGTCACTAAACAGACCCAAATTTGCACTACTCAAATTTAAGATCGGAGAATACTATCTATTTCACAAGGTCATTATGCACCCAAGGTGAAATGATAAATATGAAAGCCCACTGTAAGAGGACTCAGTGCGGAACAGACCATCAACACTGTTACGGCTTGTGTTTGGATATCCCCACAGAGCCTCATGCCTTCATAGGTGAGGCTTTTGAAAAGGTGGTTAGAATCGATTCCTGATACAACGCTAGGCTCCAGAGCACTAGGATTAAAGGTGTGAGTGCTACCTTCCCTAAGTAGTCTGGATAAGATCAAAGGGGCAGAAAGATGCTTTTAAGATCCCTTGTAGCTTTTGCCACCTTTGTGTCCACCAGGAACGGTTACCCCTTTGCCATGTGATACTCTGTTTTAGTGCTAGCTGATTATGGACTGAAATCTCTACAAACCTTTCTTCCCTTAACTTTGGGTATCAGCTATTTTGTCTCAGCAGCGAGCAAAGTAACCAAAAAACATTCTTACTGTTTATTTGCATTATAGTTGGACGATCACTACATCAATTATGTTACTTTACTTGCTCTATTTCAGTAGTATTTTATTTTTCCCCAGTGAAAGCCCACTTGGAACCCCAAACAACAATCCAAAAAAGCTTTCCTAACTCTAGTTGAAGCCAGATTGTGCCTCTTCAAACCTCTTATCTATCTACAGACCCCTGGGGAACGCTAGACTGAGAGAACCCAGTCTTCCCAGGAATGTAGAAAGAAAGTCTGCCTGAGGGCTCAATGTCTGCATTATTTTTTCTTTTCCTCTTTCTCTCCTTTCCTCCCTCCAGCTCATCCTCTCGGTTTCGCGCCCTCCCTCCTGTAATTCAGACTGGAATATCTCTAAGTGCCTCGTGGTGAAGACTTGGCACTACTGGGAGTGGTGGAACCTTGAGAGGAGACCCAGTGACGGCTTTGAAGGAAACGGTGGGCTTCCGCCCCTTCCTCTTTTGCCTTCATTCCACGGCCAGGAGGGGATTCAGCTGCGCTTTGCCATGAGCCCCCGCCATGCTGTGCTGCTGCACGATAAGCCCCAAAGAAAGGGGGCCATCGGCCCTAAACCCCAAAGCTCGCGAGCCAGTATCAACCTGGCTTTTTGCAAGCTGCTTCTCTTGGGTGTTTATTACAACGTCAGGAAGCCGACTCTCCCTCCCTGCTTTCATCAGAAATGTTCAGATCCTCTCTGGTTCCCTCTAGGGCACAGAGGAGTCGATGACCCTGTCAGAAAATCTAAATGGTTCTCGTCTGTCTATTCGGGAGTTTCTAGAAATACTTCTGACCGAGAGAGGCTCTTTGAATAATTTGCTCATCTGAGATCATTTAAATAATCTATTCGTTCATTTTCATAATTGATGGCAATGGCGACCCAGCAAGGGTGCCCGCCAGCTTAACCACGCCCCCACCCTTCAGACAGCTTCCTAATCAAGCCGGGTTTCTGTGCTGGGTGGAGATGGATGATGCCGACATTACCTTGGCTGACTGGCTGTGGTCAGGCTGTCTGGACTCCAATCTACCTTTATGTCTGTGTGATCTTACAGCAGTCATTCAACTTAGGTGGCTTTCACTTCCTCACAAAGACAGAGCCACCGATCGATCACTGAAGCGAACATTTATTGCCAGCCTCCCACGTGCCAGTTAGTGTTCGAAGCACTTGGTACAGTACTTTGATTATTGCGTGCTATTATTATGCTCTCCCTTTGGGTGCTGGCAAACGTGGAGGCCATGGTGAGGCTGAACTGGGACAACGCATTGAAAACACCCTGCGTAGTGACTGCACGTTACAGAAGCTCAACCTGTAGCAGCTGCCGCCGCCAGAATCGTCACCTCAAACAACATCCTCCTCCCCCGCTCCACCTTTGCATTAACATCCTGTGGATGCATTTTGGCACGAGGACTTTTCTATGAGAAGCTGCATGCTTTTGTTTCAATTTCTCAAATTTAGAAGAGCACTCGCCCAGCTTCTATGCTTCCTGGAGTCGGGTTGATGTTACAACTGCAAAAAGAAAAAGTGAAGGAAGAAAAAAGAAAAACGGAGATGCAGAGCAAATCAGAGACGCCCAGCAGAGATGACGCCACTTCACTCCAGCTGCATTGCTAATTTGTTAGGGACCTACTATATTTTCCTCACTGCAGCCTCACATATTGTGCTGTGTGGGTATTTAAAATAGTAGCTCGGCGTGACTCTCGGGAAGTTAGATGGTAATTTTAAATCTTTTGTAATGGCTTAACTTTCCCTCTCGATGGCTCACATCGTCTGAGAAACTTAATGATCATTATATAAGGAAACAGATTAAATTCCACCCAGACTCTGCTAAGGTTGATGATGTTACCAAGCTCGTTTTAAAAAAGGCACTCAACTTTAAATATGGATTCGGGAAAAGAAAAGAAGGACAGAGAGAGCAGGGGACCAAGGAGAGACGGGAGGGAGGGAGATGAACAATACCACGTAAAGCATGACAAATTTCTTCTGGAACTACCAATGATGGAAAAACCTAGTCACGTACCATACCTACAAATTTAGAAAAAAAAAAAAAACCTGACTTCTCAATTTCTTCTTGTCTTGTATCTTTCCAATCATCACTTCTTCCTCATACCTTCACTGTCTTTATTTTTTTATTTTATTTTTTTGGTTTTTTGAGACAGGGTCTCACTACTTAGTTGAGCCTGACCTGGAACTCACTATGTAGTCCAGGCTGCTCTCGAACTCATAGTGATCCTGCTGCCTCAGCCTCCCGAGTGCTGGGATTACAGTTGTGCACCACCACACCTGGCCTCCTTCACTGTCTTTAAAGAATCCTCTTGAAAATGTCCCAAAGATTCATGCCAATCCCCATTTAGGGCCTTTGCACTGAGGTACATACCCAACTGTTTTTATTTTTTTATTTTGAGACTTGGTCTTGGTCCATCTAAGTTGCCCAGGCGGGGCTCAAACTTGTGATCCTCCTGCCTCAGCCTCCAAGAGTGCTGGGATTACAGGAACGCACCACCATGCCTAGCTACCATTTTCTTCTTTAAAGAAGTATGGTTTATGTTTCAGAGTTTAGGCTACCGGGTTCAGTGTCCTGGCCTTGCAACTTACTAGCTCTGAGACCCTGAGCAAGTTATTGAATGTCTCACAAAGAGAAATCACTGTATCGCTGTGCTGCTGTGAGAATTAGGTGACTACTCAGCAAGTTGCAAAGCACTTTGTAAGGGTTAAGCAAATGTTACTGACTGCTACTGGTTTTATGTTGTTCTCTCACTTCCAGCTCTTCAACAGTGCCCCTGAAGATCACTGAGAAGGAGGTGAAAAAAGA